GAGAACAAGAAGGACGTCCAGCAGTTCCTGGGGTTTGCTAATTTCTACCGCAGGTTCATTCGGGATTTCTCGGCCCTAGCGCAACCCCTCTTCGCTCACCAAGAAAGACCAGAAATGGACCTGGGGAGACGCCGAAGCCGCCGCCTTTCAAGCTATCAAAGACGCGGTCGTCTCAGAGCCCGTCTTAGCGATCCCGGACGACTCCCGGCCTTTCCGACTTGAAGCAGACAGCTCAGATTATGCGACGGGGGCGGTTCTTTCACAACAATCCGCCCCGGACGGGAAGTGGCACCCTGTAGCGTTCTATTCCAAAAGCTTAAATGATGTCCAGCGCAACTACGAGATTCACGACAAGGAGATGCTCGCGATCATCCGCCCCTCGAGGAGTATCGGCATTTCCTCGAGGGCGCCGCGCATCCGGTCGAGATCTGGACTGACCATAAGAATTTGGAGTATTTCCGAAAGGCACAGCACCTTAACCGTCGGCAAGCCCGATGGTCGTTGTACCTTTCCAGGTTTGACTTTACGCTGCACCACGTCCCAGGTCGCCAGATGGGCCGTCCCGATGCTCTCTCTCGCCCGGCCCGACCACGGTATCTCCGACGACAACTCGGATGTCACCCTCTTACGCCCCGAACTGTTCCACGTTCGCGCTTGAGGCCGTCACCGTCTCTGGGCCTGGCTCCGAACTTGTCCGCGACATCAAGGAAGCGCTATCCGGTGAGCCTGACCTAGAGGAGCCCGTCGCGCTTGCGGCCCGGCAACTCTTGAAGGTCCGAGGTCAAGTTCGAGGCCCCCGCTCATCACGTTCGGACGAGTGGGCCGTCTCCGGCGACCTCCTGTACTTCCGCGGCAAGGTTGTAGTCCCTAAAGACAAGGACCTAAGGAGGCGCATCATCGAGCTCTGCCACGATACGCGAGTCGCCGGACACGCCCGGGCGGTTCAAGACCTTAGAGTTGGTTTCGCGCAACTACTGGTGGCCGCAGATGTCTCGCCATATCGGACGCTACGTCGCGACCTGCGACTTATGCTGCCGCACGAAGGCCCTCCGAAGGCTTCCGCATGGAGAGCTCCATCCGACCGAAGTCCCGCCCGAACGTTGGCACACTGTCACTGTAGACTTCATTGTCGAGCTGCCCGAGGCCCATGGGTATGACGCGGTTATGGTAGTGGTCGACGCCCTCGGAGCGCGCCCACTTCACTGAGTGCCATACGACAATAGACGCGGTCGGAGCTGCCCGCTTGTACTATCGGAACGTCTGGAGGCACCACGGAACCCCCGAGAAGTACATTTCGGACCGTGGCTCGCAGTTCATCGCTGACTTCACGCGAACTCTGGCGCTTAATTGGCGTCAAACCGGCTACCTCCACGGCTTACCACCCGCAAACCGACGGACAAACCGAGCGCGTTAACCAAGAGCTCGAGCAGTACATCCGGATCTTCACCAACTACCAACAAGACGACTGGGGACGAGCTTATCCCTGCCGCTGAGTTCGCCTATAACAACCACGTTCACTCCTCCACTCAACAGGTACCCTTTATGACGGACACTGGCCGCTTCCCGAATGGGTTTCGAGCCAGGCGCCCGCTCAGAGTTGGAGTCGGTAAACGAGTTTCGCGATCGGATAGCTAACGGCGTCTCCGAGGCAAAGGCCGCACTCGTTAAAGCCAAAGACGAGTATAAACGGTACTACGATCGGAAACGTTCGGACGCTCCGAAGATTCAAGTTGGTGATAAGGTTTGGTTGGACGCCTCTGACATTAGAACGACTCGGCCCTCCGAGAAGTTCTCCCACAAGCGCCTTGGACCGTTCAAGGTGCTCGCAGAGGTTAGCAAAGGTGCCTACAAGCTAGACCTCCCCCGTTACTCCAAGCTCCACCCCGTCTTCCCCGTTGTTAAGCTCGAGCCCGCTCAGGACGACCCCTTCGACGGACGACCCGGCTACGACGAACCGCCCCCGAACTAGAGGACGGAGTTCCCGAATGGGAAGTCGAGGAAATCTTGGATGCCAGGATAAGGTATAAGCGTCTTAACTATTTCGTCAGGTGGAAAGGCTACGATGCTTCACACGACTCGTGGGTTCGGTTCGACCGTGTCTTTGCGCCAGACAAGATTGCGGACTTCTATCGGAGATACCGGGTAAACCACGGCACATCGCCTCAGCAACCTTCGACTCGCTGCCCTTCCGTATTATGCGCCGGGACGCCCGCATTCAAAGGGGGGTGATGTCAGGGGAACCCCCGCCTCGGCCTCCTTCGGACCCTCCGAACGCATCCGAGGCGCATCCGACCCGGCGCCCCCTCGGACGCTCCGACCCACCCCGACCATCGTCCACGGCCTCCTTCGCCCGCACAATCACCGATCCGTCAAGACCCTCCCAACGATCACCTTGGGACAGAGCCTGCGACGCCGCTCAGGCCTTCTGCGCTCTACGTCGGCAGTTACGGACGACCAGTATATAGTTGGCGCCCTAGCAGGCGGACCCTTAGAGTTTCTTCTCTTTGGATCCTCCCCTGCTAGGTCGGTCCCTCCGTGTATTTCCCGTAGCTTTTATTCACGCTTTGGATCCTCCCCTGCTAGGCTTTCGTCGGAGTCTCCAGGGTTGCCCTTACAACCGTGTTTGGCTGGATGCCTCTGACATCAGGACGACTTGCCCCTCGGAGAAGTTCTCCCACCGCCGCCTCGGACCGTTCAAGATAGTCGCGGAGATCAGCAAAGGTGCCTACAAGCTCGACCTCCCTCCGCGTTACTCGAAGCTCCACCCGGTCTTCCCCATCGTCAAGCTTGAGCTCGCCCAAGACGACCCCTTCGACGGACGCCCCGGCTACGACCAGCCCCCTCCGGACTTTGAGGACGGAGTCCCGGAGTGGGAAGTAGAGGAAATCTTGGACGCAAGGGTGAGGTATAAACGGCTGAATTACCGTCAGATGGAAAGGCTACGACGCGTCGCACGACCAGTGGGTCCCTTCGACCGCGTCTTCGCCCGGAGAAAATCGCGGAGTTCTACCGTAAGTACCCTGGCAAACCACGGCACATCGCCTCCGCGACCTTCGACTCGATTCCGTTCCGGTCTATGCGTTGGGACGCCGCATTCAAAGGGGGGGGTGATGTCAGGGGAACCTCCCTTTCGGCCCCTCGGAGACGCCTCCGACTCCGGTCCGACTCCGGTTCCGTCTCCGGTCCGGCCCTCCATCTCGCCCGCACAATCACCGATCCGTCAATGCCCTCCCAACGGTTGCCCTGGGACCTTGCCTGCGACGCCGCCCAAGCCTTCTGTGCCCGACAGCGGCAGCTACGGACAAGCAGTATATAGTCAGCTCCCTAGCAGGCGGACCCTTAGAGTTTCTTCTCTTTGGATCCTCCCCTGCTAGGTCAGCTTCATTTGTATTTGCTTACCAATGTTCACGCTTTGGATCCTCCCCTGCTAGGACCTTGATCTCAGGCCTCCGGGGTTGCCCTTACACAGAGCCAGTCATTTCATCACAAACTCGGATTGCATCAGTGGCTCCGCTGTATTGCTGACTCATCACCATATTCTTCTTTATGGACGTTGACACAAGCAAGGCATCGTCAAGCGAGCCACAGCACATTCAAGATCTCTGGTTTGACGATGGCTCACTTGTTGTTCAAGCCGACAATTACATCTACAAGATTTATTGGGGCACCTTAGCGAGGCTTTTCATCGTCTTCAGAGACATGCCTGCTTTTCCTTGGCCTATGGATGCAGAGCTTGTGGACGGACTGCCCTTTGTACGACTTCCCGACCCAGAAGTAGAAGTGACACCGTTTCTGAAGGCTTTGTTCATCGCTCATGTACTAAGCCAGTAAGTATACCATTATTGACCTATAGATTGTGCATAGAACATAGATCATCAATATACACTCAATTTCGGGTGCTAAACATTGCCAATTACAGGCTATAGTAACCTACAGGCTATAAGTTACTGTAGGTTGATGTGACCTGCAGGTTACTGCAACCTGTAGATTATTTGAACCTGTAGGCTTTATGAACCTAAGGTAGATGACATTTGATTTCATCGACCGTGACTGAAAGAGTGGTGGCTGGAGAGTGGGAACTGAGCGTAAACCGGAGACGATAGAGAAACGGACTGCAAATATACGGACGATCCAGATTTATGGGCGTCTCGGAGATCGGCTGGGTGAGATCTAGAACTGCCAAAGCCAATGCGGAACGAATTGGCCGCAGTTTGTCGAAGATAAGTGGTCAAGTGGTCGGGCATTGAGGCCGTTATGAACGCCTTCTTGACGCACACTGGCAGAACAGGGTCTCTAATCCAAAGGTGAGTGCCTTGACGAATACAACCCAGCAAAACTGACCGACCGTAGATAAGTACTTCCAGCCTTTTGAGCTTTCAGGCGAGCTTGGCCCAGCATGGTCAACTGCCGGCCAGTGCATCATCTTTACACGGCGATTGAGGCCCGTCAACTAACGGTCGACTGGAGGCTCGAGCTTTTTTTAAGTTTTTCAAAAGTTTTTACTATTTAGCCTTCTGCCCTTGGGACATTTATTATCAGTTGCCCTGGTTTCAGCGATGGAGTTTGTCGTGTATACAAGCCGAACCAATTCGAGCCCATTGCGGATGGGCAGTCTAGGCAAACCAACCCGTAAAGTACCAACTCCGTTGGATGTGAGCCTTCACGCACTGTAGTCATGCAAAAATTTGTACCAAAGGCGTCGCGTGAGTCATTACCAGTCTGAGGTAAGGGGGTCACGGGTCACTGATGAATGATCGGTTTGAAAGTTTCTCCGATCACAAGCTTCTTGTTTGAGCAATATCTTGAAGCTTGATGAAGTCAACAGTGAGCATACTATAAGCCCGGGATGAACCATTAAAGCAGCAACCAACGTTCACTGTAACATCCTTTTGCCTTGAAACTATTTACTTGACACAGGCACCACATGAATGTGTTGACGCCTGATGGCCGTGATCGTGCAGTCACATCGTGACTGTGTCACATTCCCTTGACATCTTGCTATGAACGAGACACCGCTCGAAATATGGCACAAGATTTTCGAAGACGTCCCCCAGATATGTTTTCCTACAATCTTTACCGTCAACCGCGCATTCTCGCGGATAATTCGCCCATACCTTTTTGCGACATTCACTTTCCGTCCAGTCACCCCTCGTGGAGCAAATGAAGTCTTCATCGAAGAACAAAATGCGCGATTTGATTTCTGGACATCGCCCGATATCGCAGCATTGGTGCACAGCTGCAAAATCACAACCTTTCCGCTTATTCGCATTGGAGCTGAGCCGGCAGGCACCCCCAATGAGATGGCGAGGTTGTTCTTTTGCCGGGCAAAACGCTTCAGTGCTCTTCGTCATCTCATTATCCACCAAGTTGACATTTCAGAGCATTACAATGAGGTCTGCACAGCATTTGCTAGCCTCCAGAGCTTCGATTTGTGGCATCACGCGACAGGCTACGACTTGGAACGACCCGTAACTGCATCTCGACAAACCCCATTCGATAAGCCAGCTCTGCGACTCCAGAAGATACGACTCGCGCTCACGGGAAACGAGATATGCAGTTGGACTCCTTTGTTCCACTCACTGCATCTCCGAGAACTTTACCTCGACTGCCCAATCCATGCTTGGTGCGCGGAGGCGACTACTGTCCCCGAGTTCCCCCGCGTTGTACAACTTTCAATCAATATTTTACGCAACCAGCAGAATATGGAAGACTTTGCCTTCTTCTTACCCAAATTTCAAGCTCTCCAAAGCCTGTCTTTCCTCTCCGCCCACCGTATAACCGATATCGGAAGCGATGCTCTTGCGCATCTCCAACGTGGATGTTGTCTCTTGCAACAGACCTTGGAGGAAGTGAATCTCCCGCTCGTATTTCTTCCGACTTTCATGCCGGTCCCGGACTCGACTTTCCAGTGTCTGATGCGGATCAACGTGGCCGGTCGCGTGGACGGTCCCTCGCTTTCATCTGTTATTCAAGTTGGAGGACAAGTCGCTCCAAATATCATCTCATTCACCATCACTCTTTCGCAGTCGAGGCCCGAAGTTTTGAGGCAGTTATTTAGCTCATTTCCGCACCTTCAGGAATTGAAGATCGACCAGCCACGCAACGTCATTGACTTGACCCAAAACCATCAGGGGGGACAACCAGTGAGTTGACTTACCTCTTGTTGGTGACATATTCATACTGATGGACTGCCCTGCAGGACATACTCGATGTCCTGGCTGGAACAGAGGTTTCGCCTATTCACCTTCCACAGCATCTTCGGACTCTCGTAATCAGCTGGGCCGATGCCAACTGGTTTGAATCCCGTCGTCCGCGTAACCCACAAGCCCTGCGCCGAGTGCTATTAGCTATCTTAGCTCGTCTTCCCTCCCTTACTTCGTTGTGGGTTCTAAGTGTCCCCTTTTTTATTTGTTGGCGTCGTAGGTCGCCGATGGATCTTTTCGATCAGGAAGCTCTTGAGATCGGTGAGTGCTGAGCGTGGTCTTGTCCTCCTTGGATTCATTGATACTTATTCCAGTATCGTCCCCGTGGGGCATGACACCTGACGTGTTTTGGGACAGCCGTTAACCGTACTACTGATCAGTTGGAGGATCTTAGGCTACTTGTATAGTATGCTTGAACCGCTGCAATACTTATTATCCTTTCGATTTTTTGAAGTCACGTTTATATCCTCAGTCAGCATGACGCATCTGCATGGTAAGTGCGGATCAGATGCCAGTCGCCGCGGCTAACGAAGTGTGATGCGTAATACTTATTCTCTCTTCACTCCTCTCATCATGGATTTAGGGCACCCATTGCTCATTCCAGAGCTTATTGATTTATTCTTCTGGCACATCCATACCTCAAAACAGGATCTCGCCCACTGCGCTCTTGTTACCCGAGCATGGACATATCCCGCCCAAACTCACTTATTCCGACTCATTCGTTTTCATGACGCGCCAGATGCGTGGACTCCCCTTCTTCTCGCTCTCGCCGACTCCCCACACCTAGTACAACATGTTCGGCGACTACATATTGTAGTAGCTGACGACACTTCCCGCTCGTTTGACGACGCACTGGAGAGGATTGAGAGAATCCTCCATAGATCCAATATCGAATCAATCACGTTCGCGTACCTGAAAAAGGTCCTCACTACTCGCTCCCTGCGTGCTCTACGTAGTCTATTGAGACTACCGAGCCTCAAAGCCGTCGCGTTGCAGTGCATGTTCCCCAGTCTGGGTGAATTTGCTGCCTTGTGGAGCAGTTGTTCCACAAATATCCGCCATCTCAAATTGGTCTTCTCAGTCAAGCCACACGAGAAGGAGGACAACTCCATTCCTCGCCCTCAACGCTCCACCATCGTACTCGAGTCATTATCCAGTGTCTATTCGACAGAGGACCCCGCAATGAGGCTTTTACCATTCGATGTCTTCAAACTGAAGACCTTCTCTGCGCTCCAGCTTAGACAGTCTGAGGCACGCCAGCTATACGTCAGCAACTATGCCAGTCTCAGAGAGCTTCACCTGGGCATTCCCGTGCGTTGTCATTTCTCCTTATCGTCCCATACTGAGCCCTTTTACAGGATCCGGACCCTTATCCGCGCTTCACTGCACCCCCAGCCCCCCTTCCCACTACTCAGAACAGCCCTGTTAACCTCTCCGCTATGCCGAACCTCGCGTTGCTTGGCCTCTCCTTCCCCACCATACCCAAAACCATCCAGACGGCCATAACGATCGCGTCAAGCATTTCCCCTGATATCAACACTAGCTTGCAGACTATCCAACTCACACCCATGCGCCACCTGTACAATTTCATGCCCTCGCCGGTCGGTATGCCTGAAGTCAAAGTGCTTGACGAGCGGCTTTCAGGGCTGGGTATTGGCCAGGTGTTGATTGTGGCGGAGGTCGGCGAGGTCTGGGATACGTGGCTGAGCGAGCTACCCAAAGTGAAGGCTCGGAATTTGGTGCGTTGACTAGCGTCGTTCGTTGCGTGCGCTCGCGCTCAATTCTTGTTGAAGCTTCATCGGGTCGATAGAGAATGCGACTGTTGTCGCGTGAGTCGTCCTCTTTTTTCGCTGCCATTCCTCACACTTCTAGGGGTTATCTGCCCGCCCGTAAAACGGCTTCGCGTCGGCCAAAGTAAAATTTCCGCGTCTCTATGGAAATGGAATACACCATCTAAGCGTCGAGTCTAATGCCAATGGGGAAATGATGGTTTACAGAATACCGAGGTTCCGAGGCCAATCTTCGGGGGTGAGAGTTAGAACTGGGAAGATACCACTTGTATGACTTACTGTCCACTGACTGAAACTTACCTTTACCTGCTACTACCAGCAAAACCCTCGAACACTAGTAGGCCACGAATTGTGATGGCAGTGGTATATTCAACTAAGACTCGATAATGACCAACGTATCGCTCGAGCGAGGGATCAGCCGGAATCTGAAATTGAGTGCTTGACTGCAAACAAACATCAGCGCTATTCCTAATGGGCATGATCGAAGACGCACGTAACGAGTCCAGTGCGCCAATCCAAGTCTTTCATTGGGTCCACTTCATTCCCCGCGTCGTCGAGCGCCTTCTTGATGTCGAATAGCGCGAGAAGGTTTGCGGCGGCGAGGAAGACAGTCTCCTCGGCGAGGGTTGCGCCTGGGCAGACACGGCGTCCGAAACCGAATATGAAGCTGGCGGACGCGTTAGTCAGACAATGGGCAATATCAACTCGGATCAGCGGGACACACTCATATGGATCGTGCTGCTGCGTTTCACCGAGGAAGCGAGTTGGGTCGAAGTCTGACGGGTTGGGGTACATTTCTGGGTCGTGTGTTATCGCCCTGGGGGGTCAAATGTCAGCGGGAAGAGGCAGCAAAAAGGAAACCCAACCAGATGTTGGACAGAATCATCGCCCCTTTGGGAATGCTATGGAGAGTTAACCGCAGAGAAAGCAACTAGGATTTGGAGACAGACAAATATCCGTCGTAGACGTCGTCCTGCGTAACGCGATGACGGAGGCCTTGGGTTGTCGTTAATGTACGTCAATGGGTGGAAAAGATAAGCACCTTGCGGCACCGGAGGAGCCCAACGCATGGTCTCTTTAATCATCGCGGCAATATATGTCAGTGAAGCGCGGTCGTCCGAGTTGACGAGTCTTCCGCGTCCGACAACTTGGTCGAGTTCAGCCTGAGCACGGGCCTGAACCTCGGGGTGGGTTGTCATAAGCAAGAGGAATGATGTTATGGCCGAGGAGGTCTTTGAGAGGTTGGGCGATAGAGATTAGATGTGTTGAAAAACTCACCGTGTGTGCCCCGCCTGTGTAAATGGCGCCGGCGGTCCACATGAGGTCTTGCGCTTCAGCTTCGCTGAGCGGGGTGCCGTCTTCGTGGGAGAAGTAATGCCCAGAAAAGTAGGACGGATCCGAAGGATTTGTTTCCTGAATATTCATGTCAAATGGACGAGGCAAGTGCAGGTACTTACAAGTTTCTTCTTCGCCCAGTCGTTGGGCACATACACCATCGCGTCCATGATCTTCCTGCTGTTTGCGGCAACGCGGTGGAATGCGGCGGTCGGGAACCATTTCGGTAAGAACCGGACTATCGAATGATTGTCGAGTCTTGAATAGCAATCACAATAATGAAACTCACGAAAAGGGAAAAGCTCAACGAAATAGAATTTCTGGATGAGAATCGGCACTGTTCCCTCTGCCCCGTCGATGAGTTGAACAAAGTAGTCCTCTTCAGCTGGCTCTACAACATCATAGCCATACGCAATCTGGCAAGTTAAACCAAGGTCAAATGCTGATTTGGTGGATCATACCTTCAACGCGATGCCGCCGCTATATGTTGTCAACAGCGACCCGTAGCTGTCCGGGTCGTTTGACACGTTCTTCAGGAAGCCTTTGAGCGCATTCTCCAGTACTGGTCTATACTTGGCCACGGCGCGTTTATTCAATCCGACGGTGAGCATCTTGCGGTACCGCGGGAAGCGCGAATCCAGAGACGACAGGCCAAACATGGCGTTTTCGTTGCCAGCTAGGCGCGAGAGCATCCACGTGAACGGCCGGTCCGAGTATATCCCCGCCCGGGAGTCGAGGAGGTCGATTGCTGCCTTTGCCGACGTCAGAATGATGGTGGTGTGGCTGAATATCTGCAGCGTCATTATTGGGCCTGATAAGCAAGGAAGTTAGCCGAGGAGAACAATCAATGTAAGGCTTGTGTAAGGCATTCGAATATTCACCGTATTGTTTCGCCCATTCTGCGTAAGCGAGCCATTGCTTGGATTTGGGCAACTGGTGGAGGTTGCCAATGAGAAACCGCTTTGGCGGTCCAGGCGGGAGTGGGAGAGGATTTCGCCTTAAAATGCGCCAGAGTACTACCGGAAGGACCACGAGCGCTGCAGCCACCGACGTGGCTTGCATGGCGGTTTGAGTAAGAGGGATGTCGCGGCATTTGAAGGTTGATTGATGCGTGATATACCCCGATCTTTTGATTGACTCGCCTTCGAATTCGCTGTCCAAGTATCGCACTACTTAGTTCCACGTTGACAGTCAAACGAGATCTCTCTACTGAGAATAACTAAGGTTTGGTCCGCATCTCTTCCCGAAACCCGCCCGCGAGCGAACGAACAGCATCTGAGCAGACTGCTTGTTAGACTCTGAATCCAAATTTAACAAGTTAACAACCCACCGCGTCCAATGTTCTCAACAGCGCCATGAAACGGTTCAATGCTCGAGTTGGATGGGCTGCGTCTCCACATCAGCGCGTGATCGTGATTGTCGACCCAAATGGCAGAGATGTTTGGAAGATTGTCGACGAGACCATCTCGCACGTCTTGGAGAGGACAAATAGCATCACGGTAGTGACCTCCCCAGAATAATAACGAAATCATCACCCTTCTCAGAGTGGAGGGGAAAATCCCTTTGATCGCCCGTGCCATTCTCTCGCTGCCAGCGTCAATCTGCGCCAGTTCATGAATCAACGACAAACTATCAGCAGGCTCGAAGAGAATGAGCAAATGAGAATAAGATGATTACGGAAAGCATACCACTCGGAAGCCTTTGGCCAAGTCAACAATTAGATTCTCTAGTTGCGGAAACAACCATAAAATCTCGCTCAACATTCTCGCTGTCGGACCAGAGATGTCCAGGGAGACATAGGTGATACGGGAGAACGGGCGGGCATCTCCAAGCTTGCTATAGAACTCGTGAGGCGTTGGGAGTGTGTTGAGAGTAATTCGCGTGAGGTTTTCCGCACGACGCATAAATATGCCGATAATAAGGTGGGTGCCGTAGAGCTCTTCTACGGTGTGGAACAGCGAGTCGCATCCAGCTTCGAGCGCCTGTGCAGCCATTTCATCCTTGAAGACATCCCGGCCATCCCCAATCGTCAACACTTTGACGGCGGGGAATCGGGTGAGCAATGGACTGAAGTTGATGACTTGATCCAACGTGGTAACGCGGAGGGTAAGGCGAGAGACGTTGGGGAGGCGAGGTATATCATGCGGATGGACGTTGGTAAAGTTACGCATGAACATGCAATCGATGTCGACGCATTCAAGCTTGTGCGAGTTCAGGAAAGGAGTCCACAACCTGAACCCCGTAAAACTTGAGGATAGCGTGAGAGACAAGTGTTTGAGAGGAGGCCCACTCCCAACGGCATTCCAAGGTTCGATGATATCGGCGTTCGCTTCAAGTTCTTCCAAGGCTGGAAGCGCATGGTAAAGTCTTGAGAGATGTGCGCCAGTTATCTCGATCTTCAGCACCAGTTTTTTCATTCGGGTGAAGTTCTCTACGTGGTGCAGAAAGACTTCGAATAACAACAACGGGTTTTCTGTCGCAACACAATCCAAAGGGTTTGACACAGCCCACTTTGGATTTGACACAGCCCAGGTCGACACATGACAAGTTCGCACGTACCGCGCGACTTCGGGGGTTGAAAAGAATGCCAGACGGGCTAGAGCCTTCGCGTGCTTGACTGGTGAGCGTTCGTAAAATGTTCCGCGTCCACCTAGAATTCCACAGACCAGCAGGTCAAAGTTTGCGAAGAGCAAAGGACGCGCAATTCGGGAAAAGAGGCGGTCTGTGGCGATAATCGACGGGATGGATTTTATACCAGCCTCTTTAAACACCTTCAGCCAAACTTCTCCGGGAACTGCGACATTCCCCATGGCGAAAGAGTTACTTCAAGAGTAAAAGAGTCGATTGGTTCAATGGTTGTGACCCGGCCAGCAGTCACATCTAAAGTCATTTTCTTCGCGTCTCCTAGGCCAACTTCTGTCTTCGTCTGTTACAGCGCAATGATACGGTATATGACATACAAGTGCTATTCACCCACTGTTTCTGACCTCACTTTAGGACTGTCTTCTACAAGTAGAGCTGCTTCGTGAACACAATCACCAAAATGGCCTCGACATCCACTCGAAAACCCTGCCAAGAGTCCAACCACGACGAAGTGGCTACCTTGAACTCCGCTAGCGCATTGCATTTCCTCCCCAAACTCAATTCCGTGCGGACCACAACCGCGTCGTTCTATTTCTAGGCGCGACAGCACAAGCGGTAGCCTGGAACATGGTGACCCATATCGGCGGAATACTTATGGACTCGCTTCTATTGAAACCGAGCGCGATGTGGACTAGAGATGGTAGACGCAAATGTGAATGCTGTCAGGCAACGGAAAGACATTGCAATTGGCTCAGCTGGGAACCTGGAATGGTCTGTCCCCCTTCTCCACTTATTTTCTTACTTATAATCTTGTTACATAGACTTGCATTGCAGCCCCGAAGTCGGCATACACCTACCTCATCATTTAATTGCGAGCGCCATCCCAACTTCGTGTACATTCTAGCGTCGTGGACGGTGGGCGGCAGGACTCGACTTTGTCAAGATTGGTCACTTGAACGACTTTGTTCGGGCCGTCTGGGGAAACCGACAGGTACACTCCCCGAAAGCGCTATCGCAGAGGCAATCAAGGACCCCGTAGCGTTTGCCAAAACTTATATCGCTCATGTGGGTTCTAAGTTCTTTAACTTGAGATTGAACCGGTTACTGAACTGTCCCTAGAGCCTCACAGAAATCTTCTTTTGACGATAGGCTGGGCTGTACGAGGGTTCCACTGACTAATAAGCATGTGTCCGTTTGCGAAAGAAATGGTTCTGCGCTCGAGGGTCAAATCTTGTCATTAGTAAGGTATGGCTTGCGGGAGATTGAGGATATCAGTGGACGTCGCATTGCTGTACTTATCTGTCGTCGAATCATGCTGTCTGAAGCTTCTGAAGTTGGAAGAAAATTGATGACATGTGGCAACGTGACCTCCCTCTTTCTCATCCTCCCGGCAACATCCTGTAATGGCCTTCCTCCTGACGCCTTGTTCCCATAGTCCCCTCTTCAAGAAGGCCTTGTCTTGATCTTTGTGAGTGCCCTGCCTGTGGCCGCTAAACGGTTAGACTATGGCCGGTCGTTTTACAGTTCGCTGACAGTACTTGGTCAAGGCCGTCGACCTTGTGCTCGATGACGCTACACATTCCACAAGCTGGATAAAGCTTCCGGGGACAGATACTCGTCGGTATCCAGTCTTCTTCAAGTTTCATGCTTCTCACTATTTTCAGCGATCGTTCCGAAGTGTGTGGCGCCTCATATAGCCTTAGTTTTGGCCCATGATAAGCCCTTCGGCTCTCTATGCGCAGCAACACAGGCACCACTCTCCTCCTGCCCAACACCAGGACTGAAACGGTCCTCGGTTATGCAGCCGTCACTGCTTCAACTTTGAAAGACATTTCGCAGTCTTCTACAACGCCATTTTTGCGGACCATATCTGCCGTTAGCCTCTCCATTGTCTCCATCGCGCAGGTGGGTGTGACAGCCCCCCAGTTTTGCTCGAAGACTGATTTGCTCTCAGCATGTGAAGACTAATCGTGATGAATGCGTTCGAATGGTCTCCCAAATCGACGAGCTTCTCGCCGTCATTCTACGCTTATGCATCAGGTCTGAAACCGAAGGAGGACATCCTATTCCCCCTGGGATGCTATATAACATGGGCAGTTTCGCCGAGCACGTTCTTATCTGTGTTGTTTACACAAAACACTCACATCTCTTCCGCAGTACACTTCAGAAAATCCATTCTTTCGTCGAAGCTCAGCAAAACACAAGCCTAATCAAAGGCTTTTTTCGACAAGGAGAGAATTCTGCGTTATTGGAGGCATGTCGGTCTGGGTTGAGTCATGCATTGGATGTCTTCGGGGTCAGTCTTCGCGTGTCTTTGAACCTTCGCTCACATCTTCTCATGCAGGTTCAAACATCTCTACAAGCCTCCACCGAAATGGCTGACATCCGGAGCGAAGCAACGAAACGACACCATGAGTTGGTAGAGCTCTTCAGTGAGGCGAAAGCGATGACGGAATCTGATTCTGTCTCTCTGGTGAGTGTTAAATTTCGAAACGACGCCTCACCCACGGTCATGTAGCTCATCAAGCGGCCAAACAACAGCTCAACATCGTTTCTCATTATTCCCGCCAACCCCCAAATATTCTACGGAAGAGGATACGAACTTGCGGCCCTTGTCTCGCTCTTACTCAAGGACCCTACAAGAGCTGCAATTCTTGGTCCTGGCGGGATTGGAAAGACGACACTTTGCCTCGCAGCCCTGCCAGTGCACCATCCCGATGTCACAACCAAATACCCTGCTCGATATTTCGTTTCTTGCGAATCTGCAACCACGCTGGATAATTTTGTGGCCGCCATCGCTACCGCGCTGGGCGTATCACTTTCAGGGAATTCGGCGAAGAGGATCGTGAAGCATTTGGTTGGCCTGGGGCCGTGTTTATTGGTACTGGACAATTTCGAATCGACTTGGGAACCGACCAGTTCCCGCAATCAGGTTGAAGACTTCCTCTCGCTGTTGGCTGACATCTCACATGTCGGTCTGCTGGTATGTGGGTTGCTCAAGGAGGAGATACAACACTGACTATTTGAAAGCTGACCATGCGGGGAGCAGAACGTCCAGGTGGAGTTCGTTGGACTCGACCGTTTCTTCCGCCTCTCGAACCACTTTCAAACGAGGCCGCAGAACAAGTTTTCCTCAATATAACTGACGATGAAGTCTACAACGACAAACAAGATCTACACGAGTTGCTTAGCTTCACGGAAAACGTACCGTTGGCTGTCACTCTCGTGGCCAATATCGCCGCTTTTGAGGGTTACGAGACACTTTTACTTCGCTGGAAGACAGAGAAAACACGTTTGTTCTCAGACGGACCCGACAAACGTTCGAATCTCGACCTTTCCATCCGCGTATCTCTCTCCAGTCCCCGAATGGTCAACTGCCCCGGCGCGCAGCCTCTTCTCAGCTTACTTTCCCTCTTGCCTGACGGTATCTCCGACACCGACCTTCTCCAAAGCAACTTTCCCATCCTAGAAATAGGGCGAAGCAAAACCACTCTCGTTAGGACTTCGTTGGCGTATATCGCTCATGACCAACGCTTGCGTGTGTTGGCTCCCATCCGCGAGTATATACAGGACCATCATTCTCCCCCATCATCGCTCTGTCGACCGCTCCGAAAGCACTTGCACGAATTGATCGTCCTGTGGAAAAATTATCAGCATTTTTCGGCAGTGGGCATAACCAGCAGGATTTCCGCCAACGCTGGCAATTTGACGGCTGTTCTGAGCAGGGGACTTGACCCAAACGAGCCAGATTTGAGGGATACAATTGACAGTATACTCACATTCGATCTCTTCTTGAGAATCTCTGGGAGACGGTGGTCCGGTCTTTTGGATCGCATTCCAGAGCTACTGCCCTATGTTTCTGATCGGGAAATCCACGCGCAATATTTGACGGAGTACATCGTCACCTCGGACTACCATTCGGTAGTGGATATTGGCGGTTTAGAAGAAGAGGCAGTAGCACATTATCATGCCGTAAATAACAAAGTGGGCGAGGGTACGTATGTCTTTGACTTCTTTTTGTGAGGAATACTATCATCTTTATAGGACGCTTACTCTGTGCATTGGGGCGCTATTTTCACAAGCATGAAAACGACATTGAAAAGTCTTTGAGGTACTACGAGCGTGGTCTAGCGGTCTCGCGGACCAGCGATGATGCCGCGGGACAATGCAGAGCTTTGCGGGATATTACTCAAATGTTGTGGCACCTCGGACGTTATCGGGATGCACTGGTCAAAAGCCGTGAAATACGCCGTCTCGCTAAACTCAATGGGCTGTTCTATCAGGAAGCCAATGGTATTCGTCAAAAGCTCCTGTGTCTCGTATGCTTAGGAGATTTCCCTGTTTGTGCTGGCTTGTCGGCCTATGCTCGCGACCTCCTTGCCATGTGTGGTTTACAAGACGGCCAATTGGATCTATTCCTCCAAGATATCAACGCCGATGTGCATTTCCAGAAGTCGGAATATCTTGAATCGAAGGAAATTTACTTGCGGACGTATCTCATCCAACCTCCGCTGGCCCAGGTGTATGACAAGATGAACCTTGTTCATATAGACATCGAAATGGCCCAGGAAAGCACCAGCACGCTACGACAACGAGTCCTTGAAGTTCAAAATGCCTTCCATACCTTCCAAAACACCCTTGGCAATGCCTTCTGCGCCATATTCCTTGCGTTTATCGATATACAAGCTGGTCAGAAGCGCTCTGCCCTCCTGGGACTGGAGAAAACATTCGCAGAAACCCGTTCTTATGACCAAGAGCTTTCGATATTGGCGTTGAACAAGCTGGCCGACCCGGAATGCGGGATGACGAACAGCTGGACCACCTTTGGGTGGGCGTTGGTCCTGCTTGCGTTGGCCCTAAAAGGGCAGAACAAACCCGCCATTTTCCATTCCCTTCGATGCACTGGGGACTTTTTTAGGAACTCACTTGGGGATGCGGATACCGCTTTGAGCTTGTTTGAAGTGGCCTTAGAAGGCTTTGCTGCGATGGATGTTCACCGAAGTCGGGGCGAATGCGCGTTGCGGATTGGTGATATCTCGCAGAGGAAGGGAAGGCGGAAGGAGGCGGAGGATATGTGGCGCCTTGCTCGCCAATGCTTTCTTCGCTGTCCTCTGGACAAGGCTGTTGCGGGCGTGGACGCGAGGTTACTCGATACCAATGCAATCACAGTTGGAACAAAGACAGTTCCCGTACCAATACGCGCAGACAATACGCGAGTTATAACGAACAGTAGTCTATCCACCTCATTGTAGTTCTAATTCTACAGATAGTTCACGTTACTGATTGTACTCCGGGACTCTAGAGTGCGAGCTCAAACCCAGATGAATTGTGTACGCTTTGGTGGTCCAGTGCTGCTCTTATCATATGCATGTTTCTGAAGGGTTTCTGCCACGACCGTGGGTTAGGCCAAAAGGCGAAAGACCGTGGCTACCAGAAACAATGGCCTCTCCTTCCAAACTCTTCCAGCCTACGCGAATTGGGGACATCGAGCTCTCGAATAGAGTCGTTTTTAGCGATGGAGGCTGCCGACGAGAAGGGGGACTTGGTTGCATTCGCGAGGGTCTTCATCGCCAATGTGGGTTCTTCACTCTTGCCTGTTATTGCCCCGGTTGACTAACTGATAGCCCGATCTGCCTCGGCGGTTGATGCACGACTTTCCTTTGACTTTGGGGAATCGATGGTTTTATTACACTCCGGCCGCTAATACTTCCAATATTCATAAGGAAATATTAGTACAAAGGTTATCTTTTATTTGATCTAGGAAATAATAATGAATCAATGAATTTTCTGAAACCATGTCTGGAGTTGTTCTGGAGGGCCTGGGGCCAGACAGCTGTCTGGAACACGGGGCTAGGTTCTCCAGAATTTCCAGTTGCTCCAGGTGTACAAGAGAAATTTGCTTTTCCTGAGCGGGGAGCAGCGATCAGATAGGGTACACAGATTACTCCTTCTACCCCTAGTTACAAACACTACTTCGCAGGGAGGAATGGTGATACGGTTCTCCAAACCAACTATACACACACCAACATTCTGACCGAATATGCAGCCTTTTCTTCTTTTGCCGCTACGAGGAAAGCTCGGGGTTAGAATTGTACATCGGGAACAGGCATCCCGATTCCTGCATCGGCCAGTTCATACATTGCTTTTGCCAACGCTACATCCTCGGCGTCGTATCGCAGTAATGCTGCCTGCGCGTCTTCTTTCGGAAAGATGAAGCCGTCTTCAGGCTCACAAAGAGTGCCATTCTCGAAGACCTGTTCCACACAGTCAACCTCTACTCCCGTCGTTCAAGACATGAACAGCTTACGGTTCCGTCCAGCATGTACTTTCGGATGTGCTTCGCGACACAAAGCGAGGGATGGTTGACCGAGCAGTGTCTTGTATCACCTTAGTTTTATGCCAGAAAGCAAAGTGAATGCGCACCCATAACCGTTATTGTGGAGCAACCTGGCGTTCTCCACGCCCAGGAGGTCCACCATCCGAATAGCGTTGTTCAGCGGAGTTATTGGATCCTAGCTTGCGCTCAGACAACATGACAGTTGGGGACAGGTGAATAACGTACGAAGCTATTCGACAAGAAAACAACTGGGTTTCTGCGAGAACCTGTTAGAATCCATGGAGTGATGAAGAAAAAGGACCACTTTGGCTTTCTCAGATCCACACCCATCTCCCACGAGCCCTCGTATCGTTTTGGAGTGGGCTTCACTTGACCCCAATGTCGGCAGCTAACCAGGCCTCGCAAAGCGGCCGCACCACCGATTGGGTTAGGCTTGATCAACTGCAAGATAATGAGCGTGTTAGGGTGAGGTTAGTGGGGGAACCTGACCTGCTCTCGCCACTCCATCCACTCCTCGGTCCAACTGTGATCTTCGTTGACCGGAAACGGAGGGGCATCTCCGCATACAACCGGCGCAGACGCATCGTGCGGCCCCATCTCCCTCCCGGCTGCTTCTGGCCAGCCAGCCTCGATGGCACGTTCTGCATCGGTGATGTTCCTCCGCAGCTCGGTCCAGTCACGCCCTCCGACTCCAGCCAACGTTAACTCCGCCACCAACGTTGCATTCCCTTGCTCAGCGGCAGCGATGGCTTCGGCAAGCGCAGGCCAGCTGGCAGGACGATAAAGCGCCATGAAGATGGCGTGAATAAAGTGCGGACGATGAAGAACAGCAGGAATGGCGTTATTGGAGGGTCTTGAGATGGGAATAGGGCTGTGTTCGAGTCGCGAGGCGAGTGTCCAGATCCGGTCAGCGATTTCAAAGGCAGAGGAGTTGCCTGCTAATGCACATCGCTCCGCGCCGACAGAAGCGCAATGGGAGACGAATCCGTCAAAGTCCTAGGAATAAGTTAATAGTCCAGAATGTCAAAGAGGCCACCTACGCTGTTGGTCGACGTTCCTGTGCCAATAGCGTCATCAAGCATGGAGTTGTAGGGCTCGGGAGAGTATATAACTGAGAAGATAATGAGTTGTCCATATCTCCGAGATGCGTGACATACCTCCATCCAAGATGACCCGTTCTGCCTGCTCAGGGAACATGGCCACGTATGTTGCTCCAATTAGCGTGCTTGGACTCGTTAGACATTGCAGAAAGTGAGAAGACGGCATCACCCATATGAGAAGCCCCAGTACCGCAGACCACCATCTCCAACGACCTTGCGCATCTCCTCTAGATCCCGAACGACGTTAACCGTCGTCACGCTTCGCAGCACCTTGTCTCCGACAGTTTCTCGACATAGAGAGGTGGTCAATTTGGACTGGGCATCTGCAACCAGGAGAGAACGATTCAAGATCGCACGGTCGTCTTGCTCAAACGATATTTCGCCGTTGTCGTTGCCCAAAGCGAAGAGCGCGCGATGGAGGTCGGTCGCATGGCAGCTGCGGTCTGTTCAGGCACTGACAAGTTGATACGAGAAGACTGCGCACGATATTCTGGGCGTTGTCATGTTCACACCTCGCGGGTCCCAGCCAATGATATCGAATTTCCCCTCGAATATGTCGCTAAGAAGCGGGCCGACACGCAAGACACTTGCATGACCCGATCCTCCGGGGCCCTGGAGAGCTGAGTTGAGTGTACTGTAACGGACGGAGGCGTATAACACACCCCAGGATTGGTGAATACCGACCCGAGACGTTCAGAAGACGACACCGTCGCGGGGAACATCCGCATGGCAATTACGGTCTTTTCTGGGTCGTTTGGCGCATCGTAGTCGAGTGGGACTTCAAAGAAGGTGCAGTAGAAGGTCGAGTTGTCAGGGCATTCGCGCCAACGGAGGGATGTGTGTGGTCTATGCAGCAACGGCGGCGGAATCTTCAACAAGTTAGAAGAGAAATGTCGTGTCCAGTCGAATTCCGTCGAATGCCATGGGAAGAATATCGCAAGGAGGAGCAGGAGAGCGAGGAAGAGTGACTTCGTATAGCGAGAGCCAGGCCGCTCGAACGCGACTGGTTTTGAGCCCTGTGTTTTCATGAGAGTTCCGGTCGGACGGGGATGAGCGGGTCACGCGAGTCACTGACACTACTCACGGTGTCGAATTGTTTACCACCGTGCGGGTCTGAAGAGTGGCGTGTTGACGGTGGGTCTCAACATAATATCGCGAGAATCGGTCGAAGTGGTTGATTGCCTTGAGCCGGAGTGTCACACGTGTGACCGGCTATTGCCCATGGTTCATTTTGTCTGCGGTGTGGCTCTGTGCTGCAAATCTTGTTGTCTACAACTCTTGCAGGCTGTTTCCACAATTTTTCACTGCGAAAAGTTAGGTAGAAAGCTTCAAATTTTTGAATAAATTTTTTCTGAGTGAAAATTTGCACCAACCTTTGCTTGAACAATGTTAGGGAAAAACTTGGAGTTATTGATCTGATGATTACAAAGAAAAATGACAGACTATATATAGAGAAAAAACTAGAACAATAATTTTGAGTTTTTGCAAGTAGTTGTCAGGGGAACCTCCCCTTTGCTGATTCCAATCTTGATTCTGGTCCGATTCCAACTCCGGTGATAGCATCACCACCTCTATCAGATGCATCACTGCCCTGCTGGAGATCCCCCTGGGACCTGGCCTGTGACATGGCACAGGCCTACAGCTTGGAGCAATGATCACACTTGGTGCGTCATGCAAGAGCGCAGTATATAGTTCAGCTACCGAGCAGGCAGACCCTTAGAGTTTCTTCTCTTTGGATCCTCCCCTGCTAGGACCCTGATTTTGGGCCTCCGGTAGGGTGGGGCTGAAGAAGAGATGAGATTATATAGATACTAACAGGTATGATGTAGTGCCTTAAGGCAATCAGGGTGTCAGGGGATGAGAGTCCAGGTGCCTAGTTGATACCAAAGCCGGGGGAACAGCCCCACAGCCAACTCACACTGGATTTGGTAAAATATCCTTTGAAGTAGAAACTGTTCTAGATTCTGGTAGAATCTAGAACCAAATCAACCTATGGAGATTTGCCCAAAATATACATTTTGGAAACTGAGAATGATTTTAGTCAAATATATACTAGTTTTATGCAGTCTGAGATGAAAACTATCTATGGGACTAAAACTATGCCTGAAATGGTTGATATCTGTGCACATATATTTGGTCATGATATCACGCACATCAAATGTGGCAAAACTGACAGTGAAACAAAGGATTTTACTGACAGTTTCAGCACAGATGATACAAAGGAAATCAGCAGTAGAGAAATGCACATAGATTTTGTTTCTATTTGCATTTCTCCACTGCTGAAACTGTAGGCTTACAGTACAATGAAATCACTGTTGAAATCTCAAATTCATTCATGCCAGAAATTGTGATTAAAACTGTCAGTATATACATTGGAGAAATTGTAAGAGATATTGTATGTATATCAGTGACTTGAGGGTCAACTCTCAAGTTAACCGTCAAGTCAACCCCAAGGGTCTGACCTCTGGGTAGACCCTACAAGTTCAGTCTCCAGCTACATATTTGTAAGGGCAACCCCGGAGGCCTGAGATCAAGGTCCTAGCAGGGGAGGATCCAAAGAGTGAATAGAAGTAAGCAAATACAAGTGAGGCTGACCTAGCAGGGGAGGATCCAAAGAGAAGAAACTCTAAGGGTCCGCCTGCTAGGTAGCGGAACTATATACTGCGCTCTTGATGCGCCAAGGTTGATCGTTGCTCCGTGCAGTATGCCTGCGCCATGTCGCAGGCCAGGTCCCAGGGGGATCGCCAGGCGGGGGCGGCGATGCGCCTGACGGAGGCGGTGATGCGATCACCGGAGTCGGAGCCGGAGTCGGACCGGAATCGGAATCGTCTCCAAGGGGCCGAAAGGGAGGTTCCCCTGACAATATTTAAATACATAATTAGCATGAATGGGATAACAACTTTGTAATGACTTTACACAAACTTTCTAATAAATGTTACCAGATTGTAGGGACCCTTAATACATGTTACTATTCAGTTTAGACCTATGCTTCAAAGTCAATGGTTGAGTCAGAAAATGTAAATTACTGACCCAACCCGGAGTTTTCAAAACAGTGGTAGGGTCATATCTTAATGAGTTCTTATCCATTCCTAACATGTTATATATGAGCAGAAAGGTGTTCACACCGGATGGCAATGGCAGCTGGGAGATGGGAGCCCGATGACAGATCCAATGACAGTGTTATATCCATGCCGACTCCAGCATTCCGTCCCCGATATCAACTCCGGTATTTGGTTTTTTACGCAATGAAGATTTACTGAGTGTTTCCAATTACCCGACTTATGATCTGTGCAATCATCTATGCCTTATTCCTTGTATGCAACTCCCCTTCTACTTTACTTGACTTTGTTCTAATCTCGTTACTTACTTTGTTATCCCTTATTCCGTTTCCGTTACTTCTTGTACTATAAATACTTTGATGTATTACTACATACTGCAGTTTGTAAATTAACGTTGCTGGTCTCTATCTCCCAGCGTCGTCTCGACTCCGCTTTTGTCTTCTTGTCTTATCTTGGTCAACTGGAAGCCCCGGTCACCCAAACATCCTTCTGTGCTCTCCGACTTCGATTCCGTTTCCGACTTCGACTCCCTCTCCGGTCCTTTGGTCGACACGGCACTTAACAGACAGTATGTCTGGCGGACCTCATGGGGGGACCCAATGGCAGTCCCACTGGCAGTCCCGCTGGCAGCCAATTGAACAAAGAAATCAACAAAGAACTTTTTTTGCTTTCATTATCTCACCATCAATGCAAAATGTGACGCCGCGGTGATAAGCCGCAGTCTGGGACAGACCAGGAAACGACTATTTTCGTCGATTTCGTTGCTCAGCGCACGTCTTAGAGTTGACATGAGTCCTGGATGGTCAACTAGGGAGTTATCTGTCAAAGAACCAGTCAAAATCTATCAAATCGCACTCAGTGATTCCAAAATCTTGACTAGGAAAAGTTCACAGAGCCCGTTTTCTGTTAGGATCTATCCAATCCTATACAAAATACCCAAAGGGAATGTAAACTAAAAAGGCATATTTGGTTTGGCGCGCACTGGAGACTCGAGATCGACTTTTCCTAGATAAGGGACACCCCTATCTCTGTTGGTATTGATGACTGACATCATTGGAACGTGGTTTCGAATCTTGCTGGAGGATCAAGAGTGCCAAGGGACGGTTAAACGGAAGAAACCAACTCAATAGATTGGGGCCTGGACCTGCGATCAACGGCGACTCTAAAACACTGTTGAGGAACTGGACATCTGAACACTGGATTTGCGCCAGGAGAGTTGGGACAACTGACGCGCGCGAGATTCGCGCACGCCTGGAATCGGGCCCCACAGCCGCCCGCCCATAGCCACCGCAATCGGGCATGCGCCATTTTGGCTGGCAAGCGCCGGCCCGGGGCGGTGTTTCCCGATCGGGTTGACAGGCCAGACCGAGCTCCGACCCGAGCTCCGTTCCGCTTCAAGCTACAACACACCAAGAGGAGGCCTTGGGGCCTTTGGGACGCGTCCAGCACGCGTCTGGCAAAGTTGGGACGATGCCAGAGGGCGTCCGGGGTACGAAGTACCGGCATAGCCGCGTCGAGGCGCGTCCAGAACACCGCCAACCGCTGGTGGACCGAGCGGCCCAAGCTCGTAAGCGAGATTGGGTAAGCAGGGAGGGCGATATGGGTTAGAGGTCGCGCTGTACGCGCTGTGTGCGCTGCGGGCACAGGCCAGACACCGGCTTGCGCAGGCAGGAGGGCAGTGAGGAGGCTGTAGCCTCAGCAGTATATATTTGCAGCGTTTGTAGGCTATAGGTAGAGAATTCGAGTGCCCGGCTCTGCGCGGGTTTATTGTGGTTATCGCCGTTGTTATCTTTTGTCGCCGTTATCGCCGTTTCCGTTATCGCCGTTTGTGTTGAAGAAGTGCTGTCAGTCCGCCCCCGTTGTTCCGAGTGCCCGCCCGCCATCCCGCCCACTGTTGATCTTGGTCCCGCCCGTTGTTTCGCTTACCTAATCACTCCACCCTTATCGTTCCGAGCCGTTAAACGTGTTTTCTGGACTGCAGCAGCTATATACTTTAGCTGGAACCCCCGTACTTGCGCGCATCAGTTAACTACCCACCCATTTCAAACTCCGACGTGATCCGCTTCTGATCCGGTCTGATCCGAGTGATCCGAGACTCGGCCCGCGTACTTTGGTGTTAGGCTCCCTGGTTTTGTGTTCTGTTGTGTTTTGTGTGCTGATTTAGTGTGTTGTGTTGGAGTTTGTTTGTGCTGGTGTTCTAGTATTTTTGCGTTTCACAACCACCGCTGAGGCCACACGCACAAGAAACGAGTTATGAGTGTCATTCGAGAGCTGGGAAGCCGAGCTATGAACTTATCCTACTCAAGATCGAGGGATACTTCACAAGCAAAACTAGATGGTCGCGAATACGGAAGATTCACATAGGTCATTGACACCAATACACGCGATACCAGTCATCTGGACCTGGATTTTCGACTCTGGGCCATATAGCGAAACGATACCTATACAATTATGCGCATGGACTACCTTTCTTACTCGTGATTTTCCCTGATTCTATCAATTTCTGTTTAGTATTTATATCTCTGTTTTGTATTTGGCAGATTTACGGATTGCCCCGCTTTACTAGGTGCATCTGTGGATCTAGCTTGTCAATCTATCTTGCTAGCTCTTTCGAAATAGTATCATCGTGTCGGAAGGATTATTGGTTGAGGGTTTCGGTTGCTGAATACAAGAGTTCTGGTTGCTGTTTATTGGGTTTTGGTTGCTGGTCGAGAGTTTAAGGCAGTTAGTTCCTGACTCGAGATAACTCTGAGGGTTTAAGGCAGTTAGTCCTGATCCAACGAGTATAAAACTCTCCGGGCATCGTATTGGCGCTTCTCTATTGCGGAGTTTCGTCGATAGTACGCTTTGGGGCACACAAAATCAACGTTTTTCGCAAGAAACTCGCATCTACCCTACAACCTTACACATCTGTGCCAAGGCTCTGTTCACAGGGGCCTGTACTCGCTCAAGGAGTTGACGATTTTTGGGTTTTGTGACTTTTCCTACTCAACATTATACATCTTTCTCTCTACGAAAAGTGGAGTTTGGTTGTTTTTGTTGGTTAGGCTGGTTAGAGAGCTCATTTGCTGTCCGCACTCCGCACTCATCATCTGGAGCCCACTGCGAGGGGTGATCGAGTATTGCTGAAAACTTGGTTTTCGTGCAATCTGTTTCCCAAGGGTGTCGTCGAGAACCATGATCACGTCGTATCTGTGGGCCTTGGGGAGCTCCACAATGAAGTCGACAAAAACGGTATGCCAGCACCCCGGAGGCGTTTCTGTGGGGGTGCGGCTCTCCATGGGGCAGTCTCTGGAGTGCCTTGGTGCGACAGCACAGGTCACAGGTCACAGCATGCCGGCTGACATGACAAGACATCTGGTTCCAGAAGACCAGCTCCAAGGTCCTGAAGCGACCTGCATATCCGGCGGCGCAGGTATCACGGCAGCGCTCGATGATATGTCTCCGAAGGCCGTTGTCCTCGCGTACGACGATCTTTCCTCGGAAATGGAGAAGAGCACCGGAGACGGGAGACGGCCCACTTGTCAGGATGTGAGGAGCGGGGCTGCAGGCCTCGAGCCCGGGCTTGGACCCTAGGAGTTGCTGGGCCGCTGGCGTGACAGGCTCCTCCAGGTCCGGCCCACCAGAGCGTGGTGCGGATGCGGATGTCACAAAGGAGGTCAGAACCAGGACCGGGACCGGGACCGGACACACCCGCAAGTGCGCCGATGTAAGCGGGCCTGGGACGCAGCGCCCCTCTGCGTCGCCCAGGGCCACCGCTGGGCCTGCTCGGTGAGCGCGCAGAGGGGATGTGTGGGGGGCGAGAAGGGCCGCATGGACGTGCGGGGACCCAAGGGACCGTTGGTCCTTCCTGTTCTCCGGAGACGGCGAAGCAGAAGCGCCCGGCGATGTTGGCAGGGCCAGGGCCAGGGCCAGTCCAGATGCCTCTGCGTTCTGAGTCCTGTATTCGTTGCCCTGCATCGAGCCGGCGGGCTGCGTAGGTGCAGGCAGCAGCGGTGCCGAGGAGAGGACGCAGCGTACACTTGTCTGACGCTGATACGTGTCTCTGTACTTTGTTCTCGATGGGTAAATCTCTGCGGGAGGAAGGATGGCGGGTGAGCAGAAACAGGAGGATGCCGGCCTGCGGCCTGCGGCCTGCGGGCGGCGGGGCGGGGCGGACTGACCTCTGGCCGGGGATGCCATCGCGCACTCTGGCCGGGCGAATCGTGACGCCATCGCGCACTCTGACAGATAGTACAGCGCGGCGGGGCCCGTTGGATCGGCGCACCTGCGGGAGGCGGGAGCGGTGCTGTGCCCATGCTTCTCGTGCCCAGCGGCATGTTTTCTGTGTACGTACTGTATGTCTGTACGTACTGTATGTCGCCCCGGTGGCCATTGGCAGCTACACGGGACGGGCACAGCGCCAGGAATTGCTAAGGAAGGAAATCATTACGTTTTCGTTTCATTTCGTTTTGTTTCATTTTGTTTTGTTTCGTTCGCTGTTCGCTGTTTGGAGTGAGTGGGATAGGGCGCGCGATGAATGCATGAATGGATGACGAACAGACGAACGGGGGCGGGGGGGAGGCACTGGGCCGCCGGGACCGTCCTGCGGGGGCACGAGAGGGCAGAGGCAGGTTTGGGCTGCGCGCCCCGGCCCGTGCCCCCGGTTCCGCGACGAGCTCGCGGCCCATCGATATGACATCGCCGCGGCGAACTGGACAGCGTGTGCATCAGACGATCACACACCACACCGCGAGTGTCAGCTATCAGCCACAGTCAGCCACCCACGTTGTGCGTCCCGCTGCATGTGCGGCGGACGTGAGGGCGACGGGCGACGGACGGGCGATTGTCGAGATCGGGCCTCGCGACGCAACTCGCCTAGTCGACGGCGGCGGCGGCGGAGCTCGGAGGGAGCTCATTTTAGGCTTCATTAAGCAAGCGGGATCCGTCCGTCCGTCCGTTCCATGCAGAGTGGGTTCCTTGTTTGGACTTGGTTTATACACGATACACCAGAGAAAAAGCGAGAATTACAACAACACAGGGTAAGTACTACCAGCGAAAATTAGTTATCAGAAAACGCGGGTTTCGTGCGGAGCAGAACAAGTAAAAACAATGCAACGAGCGTCGTCCCCCCCTACGCGACGCACACGCTCAGCCGACTGGGCACATACGCCCGCCCCCCGCACGCGCTCTCGTACCCGTTCCCTGCCCCGCAGGCGTACGGCGCGCGCGGGCGGCCGACGACGTTGATGCGGTGCAGGAGCGTGCGCGCGAGGAGCCGCGCGCGCGCGTCGGGCGTCGCGTAGTGCCGCGCGAGGAACGGCGACGGCGCGCCGGGCACGGGGGCGGGGGCGGGGGCGGTGGAATATGAGGGCAAGGAGGGGGCGTGGGAGGGCGGGGACGGGAGGGCGGAGCGGCGCACGCCGGCGCCGGCGGAGAAGGAGGGCGCGCGGCGGCGGCCGACGGGCAGCGGGGCGGGGAGGGCGATCGTGATGGCGAGCGGCGTGGGGGCGCGGCCGCGGGAGAGCGCCGGGGCCGGTGTGGGCGCCGGGGATAAGGACGAGGAGGGGGACGGGGAGCGCAGGCGGGGCGGCTCGTCGTCGTCCGCGAACGGGTCGAACCGGATCGGCGACGAGGCCGAGGGGGCGGGGGCGGGCTTGGAGGTGGAGGGCCGCTCGTGGGCGTTGTGGGTGTTCCAGGTGGAGCGCAGCGGGCGGAGCGGCGTCCACGTCGGGGACGAGTGCAGCGCGGCGGCCATTACGAGGGTAGGGTACTAGAGTAGGGGTGGGTGGGTGGTGGTCGTGGGCAGGGGTCGTTAGAGGGGGCTGGCTCGCAGCGGGCGATGGACGGAAAGGGCAGTGGAGTGGGGCAGCACCACCCCCGTGCGTGCTTATATACGTCGCACGGAATGGAAGGAAGGAGGTGGCGTCGGCTGTCACTCGCTCCACGTCACACGCCACAGCCCCCTTGTCCGACGCTGATTGGCCCCGTCCGCGTGCTGCATTGTCCTCCCGAACGGGCATGTTCCTTGTATTCTCTGCACATTGTCCACACAGAGCCACGTACTTGTCCCCCCGCTCCGCTCTAGCCCCACCGTGTGACCCACCCAGGCTGTGACCTGATGCGTCCTACACCCAGGCTGTGCACCGCCGGTCCGTCCCGACGACAGCGCCTCGTCGCACCGCGATCGCGACCGGGCGGATCCTTCCCGGACCTGACTGACAACGGATGACAACGTGTCGCCACGTCCGTTGCCGTTGCCCGCGCACGCCACGCGCCACGCGCCACTGCGTCATCGTCACATCCCCACCGCAATGACACCATCTGCCGTTCGTTCCTCCAGGCTATCCATCCCCGCTGGCCGCACTACCATCGCCACCGCTCCAGCCCAGCCCCGCCCAGCCCACCATGCTCCGTCCGTCAGCTATGCGCCGCCCCACCTTCACTTGTGGCCCGGGCCGGCGTCGGGCTCGGGCTCGGCCGTCGGCGTCGGGCCCGCGAGGCCTAGACCGGTCGGGCGTCGGGCGTCGGGCGTCCGCCCCGAAAGGCCGGCGACCCGCGCCCGCGCCCGCGCCCGCGCCCATGCCCGCGGCCCAGGGTTGACGCGCCACCGCCGCCACCTGCAACCCCCGTCCACAGCCCAGCCGCGGCACCCAGCCACCGCCCACCGTCCAAAGACGGACGTCCGCCACCGGCCCCGCGCCCCGCGCCCGCGCCCGCGCCCATGCCCACGCCCGCCTGCCAAAGCCCCACCGGCCCAATCATACCCCCCCGGCGGCGGCGGCGGTGGCGCAGCCAACACTTATACACTATAAACCAGCATGCCGGCTCCCACGAAGACCCTCCCACTGCCACTGTCGAAAACGGTAATAACGGGCCACAACGCGCCATCTCCGTTGCTCCGGTGAACACAGATCGAGTACACCCAAATCTGCAGGTAACCCCACTCGCAGGTCGCAGCAAAGACACGCTGAACCTGTAATAGCACTTTCTGCGGTCCAAAGGGCCGTTGTGTATTATACCCACAACATGGATCGCTTTTGGTTAATTGCTATCGAGGCGTCTTCCCACACCCAAATCTGCAGGTAACCCTACTCCCAGGTCGCACGTCGCAGCGAAAGCCAGCAGCCCTGTCGGGCGAGCAAGAGCACTTTCTCTTTTTGTGCTCCCAAGCGGTATTTTGTATTGCAACATGGATCGCTTTTGGTTAATTGCTATCGAGGCATTTTCACTCCTTGTCCCCAATAAACGCAGGTGTCCCTTAAACCTTTCAAGTTATCATTACCCTCATTCCGTTTTTAGTTGAAGACCTCCAGAACTTACAAAACTCCTGGCAGCAGACTCGATGCCCTCCCCTCCCCCACTCCAAGCCAATGCTCCCCCAGCCTGCGCACCAAAAGCCTTGGACATCAGGTAAAACAAAACAGCAAAATAAGCACCAACAGACCCTCCCTCCCTATCGACCACACATACGACGGCCCCAAAAGGCACTTGTGTGTCATCCACCAGCCACACCAATGAGCCACAAAATAACAAAATCGCCATACACATAGTGCGCGACCACGGCGCTGGATCATCAGGAGCGGTGCCCATCCAGATCTCCCGGCAAGCAGCAAGCATCGGCGTACCCGGCCCCACTGTCCTCAACCACATCCCCTTGAGAACCCGCGGCTTTGACCGGGGACTCGGCCCCCAGACACGCCATGTGTGCCACGAACTGATGCCAGTGCATTCACAGACTAGAATATATCGTCCTCCGGGCCACCCCCAGCCCTTCCCCAGACATATGTCCAAAAAGTGGAGTTTTCAGCGGGGGATCAGCCCTGCCTGGTGCAAGCATGGCTGGATGGCTGGGCTGGTGGAGCTGCAGGCCCCGTGAAGGCGTCAGGGGACGCCCTGATGGCGTCGCTTGATCCCATAATGCACTGCATCTCCATTCGTTTCTCCACGTCTCCGCATCCCCTAACGTGCTCCTCTACTAGGCAATAGCACAGGCAGGCAGGCCATACCGCGCTGCACACCCTCACACTACCACCTCTCTGGAGACACCCGGCGACACCTTCGAGTGGCCCCTGTTGCTACTCCCCAGTGGTCATGGCTGGCTGCCCCTATTTGAAGAGCAAGCAAATTCCTGATGACTTAGTCATTAACCTTATGTCTAATGCATTCATTGCATACCATCACCAAATAGGAGAATTCAAGAGGTAATGGGACACTAGATTTCTATACATATACATTAGATATTTCTAATCACATTATTATTATTGTTATCATTATCAAGTAACCTTTTGAACCTTTTTTTTTCTTTTATTTATTATTTGCTCAATCCCACAAATAAAATTGAAATAGAAAGGGTTAGACCCCTGTAAAAGGTTTATCAAACAGAAATTGTTGGAGCCTTAGGCTCCAGCCTCAAGTGAACATAGCACTGAGAATGCACTCACCAGTAGTATGTTGGGATAGTTTGGGACACAGAAATCTGCCAGTGCAGGTGCACCAACTAGTAATTGTGTGCCATGTACAGTAGTCACATCGCCCAAGCTTAGGCATCTCCACCAGTCTGACCTGCTACTGGCAGAAAAATTTTAGCTCAAATCTCAATATACTATAGTAACTTCATCACCAGATATCACAAGGGGGAGACACATATAGTGTTCAACACGGGCCACCCGCGGGTAAATCCGGGGTGGCCCAGGCCCGTTCCCGCCAATGGCCCGGGCCCGCTTCGGCAGGTGTGGGTATCCGCGTTTTGGACAACGGGGCCGCGGGTGGCCCGCGTTTCAGCGGCCCGCAGACCGCCGAAGCCATGCCTTGGCCACGCTGAGGCCACCTGAACGATCAAGACGATGTCGACTAGTAGTGTTACCCCCCAGCAAAAGCCGTCGCAGCCATCTGAGCCAAGTCGGTAACGGTTTCGAGGCGTTGGAGCTTGGCCGGCTATTGGGTTGGCCGGGCCCGGCAGGCCAGTGGGTTTGGGGCATCAGGCCCGCACCCGTACCCGTGCAGGCCCGTCCTCATGGCCGTCACAGGTCATGCCACCCATGACGATCACTAGACACATATAATTTTAAGTAAGGTAATAGTGATGGAATTGCCAATACATGCACTACTGATATCCCTCCAACTACTGTCTCACACCAATCAATATCAACGTCTGGAAGAGAATATAGCGAATTGATCCCCAGCCAGTTAATGTGTCCCATCCTGGACTAGTCCTGTTATCCCCAGCTTAGCCCTATGAGAGAATATATACATACTAAAATACTCACTGAGGCCCAGCACAGCTTGAACCATCTGTGATATCTGTAAATGCTGCACGCAGCCCAGGGGCATACAATGTAGGATTCACAAAACCAAGCACAGGTTGCTGTGCAGTAAGGAGGACATCATTGACCAGAAGAAATATAGATCCAACAATAAGTGCACTGGCATCTGTGTCACTGACCAGCTTGAGCTAAAATAACAAATATTGGTAGAGCTTTAGACAACATGCTGCTGCTCCTACCAAGTTGCTCCCTGCAAAGTAAAACATGATCACTCAAGTTGTAATACAAAGTTTCAACTTACCAAATACCATTGGAATGTTCTGAGCAACAGCTACTATATCTGGGACCAGCCGGCTGTCAAACCCTGTCTCATGGAACTGATCTATCTATATCAGAGAGTTAGGACACAAACATGCAAAAATCCTAGATAAACCTGGTAACTTGGGTTGATAAAAGCTTCTGAACGCCCTGATGGTTATTTCTGAGTAGTATGGTATGGCCAATAATTATGTACTTACCCCAAGCAGAGAATTCTACAGATACTTCTTCTCCACCTTGAAGTGCTGTTCCTGCAACTGCAGTAACACTGCAAAAGGATAAGTAAACTTAGACCATAAAAAAAATCAAGAATAAATACAGACAATGGACAGTTTGATGGGAAATTGACAAAGGCACTAGTCATATTAGTTAGGCATAATTGAAAAGTTGACCAGATAATCATAATATACCAGCCAGCATCTATGTTCCATATTCAATCAGAGAATGGAATGCAATCAAGATGTACCTACCATTCTCAGCTCCACTAGATACAACCACAGTTATTCCTACTCAAAATTAGAGAAAAGAAGTAGACAGAAGCCTGGCTTGCCCATTGTGCCAAGCCCTCCTAGAGCATCACACACAATGCTTATTAAAATTCAACCTTGGATCAAAATCAGAACCCTTAGTAAAATACCTCATTCCAGCAATTGTTGTGCCAATAGACTCTGCTATGCCTGAGGGGATGACAACAACAGTTGGCTTATTATTGGTATTCATGATTGCATCAATCATGTTCCTAGGCAATATTAACAGTTTGAATCAGGATTCACAATAGCACTTACATGATTGGGTTTAGAAAGCCCTGATTGCTATCACCAATGAATAGCTGTGCTCTTTTGCCTGTCAGTGCAGCTGTATACTATGGTATTTGTTAGCAGATATTGGAAATTATACCATTAGAAAAAAGTCTCGAACCTCTGTAGCTAATGTCTGCAACTCAGTCAGAAATTGAATGCAGCAGTATTGTAAATAAATACTGGGATCATTGTTGCCCCATCAAACATTTCAGAAGTGATTTCTGCATTTTCATCCAAGATTGGCACAAGGGGAGGGCCCAAAGCAAGGCCTGCACGTGTTTCAACAAGAAATTCCTTGGAATAGAGATTAGAATTTTTCTGTGATATATTTGTTTAACCTTACTTGAACATCATTGTCATTCAGATATACTGGTGACTGATCATTGGTCATAACCCAGAGCAGGTTGCCTGGGACAACAACTTGTGCATTCAATGGCACCCCATATAAGGCCTACACAAGTGTTCAAAATGACAATAGCTTAATTAGGCTTGCAGACCTGTATACAACTCAAGCTGGTGATATCATCACAGCTAGAAGAGACCAAGCTGGCACGTGATAAAATAGTAGAGTTATTCGTACGAGTATTGACCGCTTGACCAGTGGGCTTTGGAGCAAAGTCGAAATTTGTGGTGGGATGAATGAAGCCGATGTGAGCCTTGAGTGCCAAAGGAACAGAGTAGCTTAGGGTTCGGATAGCTTTCTGACCGCTAGCAATATGTCTATACTCGAGAAATAATGCCCCGAACATCTGGTTGGCTTGTTGGACAGAGAGTCTGAGCTTCAGCATATTGCCCAGAGGAGACGTGCTGGAGAAGGTAACATTGTTTGCGACCAGCCAGTTGGTGATGAGACCCGATGTTCCATTTGTAGGGCCGACCAGTTCGGACAACTACAAGATGATGTTAAACTCTGAAGCTTAGGACTAGGCAACTTGAAGAGACACCTCAGCTGCGGTCAAATATTGCCCATATGAAGCGCTTCGTCGATCTGACACTGACAGTGCAATGTCCTCAAACTTGCTCCGGTTGGCAGGGACAAGTCCGATTCGAAGAGTGAGCATCTCTGCACCGTCTGGAACTAGCCCTTGGTCGAAGCCAGCAGGAACAGTGTTGCGTGAGTCATGAACAACGAGGGTGGTACTAGCAGAAGCTAGAAGGGCAGCAACCCAGACGAAAAGACGGAGCATGGGGAAATCAACGCGGAAGACCGTGGTGCAAGAGCTTTGGAAAGATATATTCGCGCTTCGAAGTGCACATCAGGTAAGTATCATTTTTGGTTCCTTGGCACAATCATCTTCTGGCCCTTGCCCTGGACGTGTGTCAGAAGCATAATTATTGATATTGTGGAACTCGTCCACGTAGGAGCGATGTTTTCCCGTCAATAAACCAAGTTGGAGTACGGTGAGAGTGTTCGGTCCAGCATTCCAACGGAAAAAAGCTTGAATTTGAAGTTTATGAACCATTCATACTCACAAGGTACGCAAAACAACGCCAAACAGCACATTCTTCCCAATCCATTTAGCCGACCCCGCGCCAATCTTGCTGACATGCTCCTCATCTCTGACTGTCCGCGTCCAAACTCCCGTCCCATCGTCTCCAACCCCGGTGATTGCCTCTAATCCCTCTCGTCCAGCGGCATCGACGACGTCTTGCGCAGACCAGACATGCTTCTCCGTCCATGTCAGTTTTCCGTCCTCGTCAATAAAGTTAGCCCCGCCAGTTTGTCCCAGGTCCGGATGCATGTTCGTGATAAAGACCCATGACCCTGGTCTGGGTTGGAGAAGTTGCCGGGTCCGGTGGAAGAACTCGTCAAGGGAGGAAAGGTGCTCGAGAACGAGTGTGCAAATAACGCCATCGGCCCGCCCTTCGCCAAGCAAGCAGTCTGGCACAGGCATGTGCCCCTTCACGTCCCAGACGTCCAGAACTAGCCTCCCGTCTTGAACGCCCTTTGCTACTGCATCTCGCCACTGGGCGGCTTCAAGCATCTGGGCGGTAAGATCCAATCCGACCACCGTTTCCACTCCTTTGACTGACAACAACTTCTCGGTGTTTCGACCTGTGCCACAACCCAAATCGACGATTCGCTTCATCGGTAACGATGCGGACAAGCTCCCCAATACCGCCGCAACCAGCTCGTCGTCGACCTTTTGAAGGAAGTTCTCCGCCGTATCATATGTCTATAGGTTCTTTAGACATGAAGGAGATATGGAATCTGGATGGGAAACACACCTTTGCCCATCGCCCATATGACTCCACCACCGGCACTATTCTCTCCGTTGAGTCGCTTGGGGACATGGGAGGTACAGACTGGGGACCCTGCCTTTCGCCCGCTTTTTATGCCTGTGCCCATCACCAGTCGAGTCATATTAGGTTTGTCGATCTCGTTTCCAGAAGTTGAGCCGAGACCATCGTGGCAAAAGCACGGAAGAGTCGAGAAATGCCAGCAAAGTGGGATGAAGTAGTTCACGGCATAGAGAAACAACTTGCAGATCCCAGAAACCGAAACCAGTGTGGAGCTGGTTCGAAGACTATCCAAAAAGGTTAGAGAGTGTCGTGACCAGCCCGAGAAGTAGCGCACTGTAAATCAAGTCCTGGGTGTAATGTATACCATCGCCCACAATGTACTTCAAGTTGTTTTCGGACGGCTTCTGGTTTCTCCCTTCGCCAATCCTGCAGCAGCGACACTGCGTCGTAACCCTTGTCGCGCGTGAAACCAAGAGTTTGGGAGCATATATGCTGGCGGCGACATCTAATGCATTCGGTGGGTAGCGGCAGAAGGAGAGTTTCGTTGCGGGTGACCGTCTGTGACACGGCTTCCAAGTTCACATATTCCATCCATGATCATACTATTCCCTCAGCTGGAACACGACTCCGCACAAGCACAAGAAAGAATGAAAACCTTTCCAACCTACTAGTAACCGGATGAACCACCGAAAACTATAAGTTTCTGGCCCCTTGCTTGTCTTACAAGCGGCAATTGCGCACGTTCACTGCCGATTCAACGCGTACCTTGGCGATTCGACGAATGATGCTGGAATTACAAAATCTCATAGCGCAGAGTCACCGCAGGCGCCTGCCAACTATGAGATAATCAACGACTTCTTGCTATACCTTGACGATCATCTCTGAGCATGCTGCATTTAGCAACCTTCTTCAAGTTCTTAACGAAGTCGCACTGCTTTTTTTCGAAGTCTGCCAGCGTCTCATGGCGCTGCTTCTAAGCGTTGATGTTTATAAAAGGCTGGATATGAATCAAATGATCCATTACTTACACCACTCAAATTGTCAATGCCCTTGCAATGCCCAGGTACCCATGGGTGTAAACAATTTGAGAGTGGTCATACTAGTAAGTACACGGTCATGCCTTCTAAGTTAACATTCCACTTGCTAGCCAAAGGACCTATCATAACTAGATGTGCGGCTTGCAGCACTCGAGTATAACCGAACCTCAGATTGGCAACAGCTACTGTCACGGTTAGGACGGCTCAAAATTCCACCATCGGTTCTCTCCAATCCGAGTCAAAGTCGACGACTTCGAGACCCAACGCTGTCGCCTTCGGAAGCGAGGTCGCAATCGCTGCAGTATACCCCTGCCAATCCACTCTCGGTGACCCTTGCCAGTACTGACACGTTTCGCTCGCCCGCGAGAAAGACGAGGTCGTGTAAAATTGCGGGACATAACGCACGTTCCCGAGGGCGAGCGTTGACATATAAAGATGTAGGATTTCGTCGAGCTTGTGCAGCGCTTTGTGCATGTCTGGCCGGTTCCTCGGGATACGTCACTGGTGCGGCATTATCGCGTGGGTCGGAGACCATGACCGAAATCTTCGGACAAAGATAGAGCTCCCTCAAACCGCCGGGCTGTCTCGATTTCCGGGAAAGCATGGATGAAAGAAAGAGCAGAAGGAGCGGCGGCGGTACATGGTGAACAGGTCCCATGTTTCCGACGTACTAGTATACGAAACTGACTTGGAGATGCCGCAGTCGAGGCAAGCTCTCCGGAAGCGTCTGGATGTCCGATGGGTATGGTAAAGGGGGTTGTTCCGGCGACCATTCTTCCGCTACTCAGATTCAATTAGTAGGCCCGAGACGGTGACTTTATGAGGCTCACAAGGAAGTCCAATCAATAGGTACTCAAGGGTCCCGCTGACAGCTGATAATACCTTTGGGACTACTCTGAGAAATGATTGATCCCCTGCATTTCCGCGCAGGTCCTTAGCACTGAGCACCAATGCGCGTATCGAAAGGATGTATGGACGGACCAGATCATAGTTGGGCACGCTGCCCATGTCGACAATCGTGGTCTTGAAACGAGAAAGAAAGGGCGGTACAACGCGGGGCTCCGTCAAATTCTCTACTAGTATTTCCTCTGGTTCCTCGGCTTCCGGTCTGAGTCCCATAATACACACAGCTCGACAAGCGGTCAACGCATGACGGATCAGCTGAGGAGGAACACTGGGAAAGTCGCCAAAATCTAGCTTTCGCAGAACTCCTTTTGCTCGGGCGCATTCGATCAACTCCTGGATGGGGAGGGTCAAGGTATCCGGTAACGCCCCCCATCGATACCGTGAGGCCGACGATTCTGCCCTCCAGTAGTCGGTGCAGAAGACTTGGACTATAAAATACAGGGCTTTATATACTAAAAATGAAATGAAATGACTCCGAGGGCGAGTCAGATCGAGTTCCGGGGCCGCGCCCGATGAGTCAGTGGGCCGGCGACGCGTCGCCGTCGAGCGCGTGAACACGTTTGATGCGCGTGATGCCGCGGGGTGCTGACGTCATATTGCTGACTTGACGCGATCTCCGTGCTCAGCCGCGTTGGCTGCTCAACAACGAAGTTAGCCATATTGGTTTGCGAAAGATGATGTCGTGAAGAGAGAAGGTGGAAGGTGTCACGTCAATGTCATCTCAGATCAGTGATTTTTTTCAGTCAGAGTTGGATGAGGCAAAATAATAAGCCACCCACACTGGCAGCCTGAGCCAGTTGAGTTGAGATACTCATAAGTATTATGTAGTGCTCTGTAATTTATGTAGACTTTAGGAACATTACAAGCCCAAGGCTTCTTTCTTTATCTTCCTCAGATCCTCCCACTTCCCAATTCCATACTTTCTTGGAAGCTTGTTCCACAGCTGCTCGCGACACTCTGCAAGCGCCAGCTGGAGGTGCTCAAAGCATGACGCGCACACTTTCTTCAGTGGACCGTCGGCTGCGATGCGAAATATGTGCAGTGGTTGTGCCAGGCGTTTGTCTGCCAGGTCATGGAACTTCCCCAGCGCCTTAAGGCGAACTGATTCGCAGTGGTGAGGCGCTCGGCAGCCACAGCGCGGGTCGACCCGATAGTTTGACACACACGACAACAGCGGTATCGCAATGTGGGAAAAGGCGCCATGGCCGTGGAGAAATGCGACCCAGTCCCGCTCCGAAAACGTGGCCTCTTCGTTGTCGCGGAACGTGAGATAATGCGCGAGCCGCTCGGGGTGGGTAAGATGTGACGACAGGTGGTAGAATGCCAGGGGGAGTATCCACAGGGCCTCGACTTCGCGTGCGAGAGAAATAGCTCGGAAGAGAACGGGCACCGGGATGCTGCCGTATTCGGGATTCGGAGGTGGCAACCAGGATGTCCGCTCCACTGCAGCAAGCTCGGAGGAGTTATAACGTCGCCTGTCAAGTAGCGCAAGTTCAGTGGGGAATCCGGACGACAGGTGGACGAGAGCTCTTTGTCGGATGTAGTCCACTTGGTACTTGTGGCTCATGCGGAGGCAGCCCTCAATGATGTCGAATTCGGTCCGAGCAGGATACGCGGGGAAGAATCTAGGTGAAGCGTCTTTGTCAAAGCCATCTTTGAGAAGCAAACAAACAGACGTACTCTGAGTCGAATATCGCCTGCAGAAAGCATGCCACCTCATGTGCAGAGTCTCCCATCATTGGCACGAGTGGACACCCCTCAAACTCGTCTTCCGGCGCGCGCTCTTGCGGTTGTGGAAATGAGAACATATCCTTGAAAATTGGCGACCGTGCAGCGAGAATCCCTTGGAAGACTTTGAAGACATGGTCCTCAGCTTGCAACACGACATTGCCATCTGGAAACCAGAGCTCTGGGACACGTTCAAGGTCCATGATGGGAGTTGTGGAAGAAAGACTTGGTAACCGTGACGCTTTAGCCACCGGCCGTTTTGAGAACAAAGCAAATGAGCCTGAATAAGTAATGTTCTTACAATTGATATTTAGAAGCTGCCAGTATTCACATTTTAACAATGATTCTGCCGCCGACTTTTCCTGCCGCCAAATCGTCAAACGCTCTTAAACGTGATTTAGAACAAATAGGGAGGAAGAGAGGGAACAAAAGACACACTTGTTGATCTCTCCGAATGGTCGAACTTCGTAGTGAGCAGCGACCTTGCCACGCGCCGCGAGGTCGAGGGCATCGATAACATCCTGACGACTCCTGGTATGGGGCTTGTCAGTCACAAACCAACGGGAGGAGAGGGAGACGAAGAAACCGACCCTACAGCGGACCCGCGAATGGTGAGACACTATGATCGTGAGACGACGACACGATGACGGAGCGAGTTATACCTTGCTGGTCATAGCAGCGATGGGAATTGTGAATGTCGCCAGTCCAGAGGGTACGCCTACAATGACAATTGTGCCAGTGAGACGGACATACCCAACCGCTTGCTCAATTGAGCCAGGCTGTAGAAAGCTTGAGCATTGGCACAGAAGAGTGTCAAGGGGAGACATACATGTGCGGAGATGATGACCGCGGAATGTGCCCCAAGGCCATCTGTCGTGTCCTTGATCTCCTGAACGATGTTCTCCGTAGTCTTGAAGTCAATCCACTTCTCCGCTCCCAATCGGAGACAGAGGTCTCGTTTGGCGTCACCAGTGTCGATTGCGATGACGCGGAGACCCAAGGCGTGGGCGTATTGAATAGCTGTAGTCGATTCAGACAATGAGGGACCTGGACATAAGAACGAGAAGCTATACCCAGATGTCCTAGCCCACCCCCAGCGCCAGGCAAGACAACCCATTGGCCGAGCTTAGGATTGCTTTCCTTCAGTGCTTTGAAGACCGTTACTCCGGCGCAGAGTAGCGGAGTTGCCGCAGCACCATCCAGATTTTCGGGAATGGGTGTAACATAGTCGACATAAGAGACCTATGGTTTAAAGAGATGACGGGGGAAGCAGGGAAGAGTACAAGGACATACAGCGTAGTCAGTGAAAGAGCCATCTACTCGGAAACCATGGGTGGTTTCATGCCCAACAGCACAGTCTGTTTTTTGTCAGCGAAGACCTTGAGACTGAATAAGACTAACTAGGCTCGTTCCCCGTGCGACACATTTCACAGCTATTCGATTCGTCAGTATGCGAAACGATAGTCAGAGGGAGAACACGAACTTCAGACACGCATTCGCAATCCACTTTATCCCCACCCTGTCCCCAATCTTGACCGCGCTGCGCGCCGTATGCTCGCCAATAGCCACGACACGCCCGATTCCTTCATGGCCACCGACGAGCGGGAACTTTATAGGGCCCCAGCCGCCTTCCTTGATGTGCAAATCTGAATGGCACACCCCCGCATACTCGATCTTCACAAGACACTGTCCTGGCTGGAGTTCCGACGGTTGCACGACAGGCTGGTCCTCTTTCAGCAAGAGAGGCTGGTCGAAGGAGGTGATGACTGCAGCGCGCGCGGTGAGCGGGATAGCGGTCGACATTGGCGTGGGGAAAGTGTGGGTTATTCGCGGTCTTTTTGAATACGACCTGTGAAGATGCGTCTGACGAGAGTGAATCCGGTCCGAAAAACGGCAACCCGATGGCCGGAAGGAGAGCGGTCCATATGACCAACAGTGGTGGGTGAAAGCCAAGAGTGAGATTTTTGACAAGTCATTTTGGAGGCAAAACCACGATGAGTTTGGCTACTGATCCGTCCCTGAATGGGTTTCCATTTTCGCACAATTCGGACTGACATCTTTCTTATTCTTATTCATGAATTCAATTACGACTACCGCCTGACCAGGCTAGACTGCGTCAACACTGCTGCCGCTGCCGCCACCGTGAGCAGCCCAACAACCAGACTCTTCCGCCACTTCCTCTCGGGCTTCCACTTCCCCGCCTCCGCCCTGACGCCACCAGCCTTGACAACAAGATAGTGTTTCCAGTTCGGCTTTCTCAGCCACCACCAAAACAGTGTCATGCTGCCCGGGAACAGGCCGTGGATCTTGCCGACGTTGCCAACGCGGTACCATGACTGGCAGCGTGCCCAAATGAACTTGCTCAGCCGCGACTGGACCTTCTCATTGTACGCGTCGGCAGCGGAAGTGGTTGGCTCAACGGACGTGATCTTGCCGGCGAAGAGGGGGTCGAGTAACTGGAGCAGGTACGCGACTTGCACCTCCATAGCGTAGAGCAGCGAAGTGTGGCCCGTTGCGGTGTTGGCCCCAGCGAGAGTGAAAAAGTTTGGGAAGCCGGGAATAGCAGTACCGAGATAGGCCGTTGGCCCCTCGTGTTCCTTGAAGTACTGTTTGACAGTTAAGCCAGAGGTGCCGTGGACAGGTATCGCATAAGTGTCCTGATAAGCCGCAGTTAGCTCCTCGTCGCTAAGCAAGAAAGAAAGGACGGACTGTAATATAGCCAGTGCTATAAATGATGACATCGTGTTTTTGTAGCCCATCGCTAGTGACAATTCCGTCTTCGGTGATGCGCTGGATAGGATCGAAGTCAAGCTTCATGTTGGAACGAGCGAGTGACGGAAGGTAATTTGTGTCGTAGACGATTCGTTTGCAGCCAAGCCCTGCGAGGGATCAGTCCCGAGCTTAATACCATCAGAAACACCCACTGAAATCAGGCTCCGTAGGGATGATTTTGTCCGCATACTCCGCTGGAGCGACTTTGCGCATGTAAGAGCGAAGATACTGTTCAACCATGAACCCTTGTCAAGCTGTGTTATAATGACATACTGATTGAAGGACCCCATTGGTGAATTTGTTGGAGAAGATGGCAAGGTAAAGTACCTCTGTCTAAAGTAACGATAAATCCAAGTTATGAAGGTAGAGGATGTGACCAACCCAAAGGAAATGCAGGTTTCGGTAGAGCCGAAGCCAGCCCGGAACATAGCGAAGCAGGAACTTGTGCAATGAAGAGTACTCTTCGCGAATAGGCGGGAATATCCACGACGGAGAACGGCAGTACTGGGTCACTTGCACAGTGGGGTCTTCTGATATGCGTGGGACAAATTGGGTCCTGTCGAATCCCTGTTTGTCAGAATGACTCCATAGAAGAAACAAAAAACTCACGCAGAGGCCCCACTTCCAATAACCGCGACCTTCTTGCCTCGCAGGTCGATACCGTACTCCCATCTCGCAGAGTGAAAACTCTCGCCTTTGAAACTTTCCCTCCCGTCAATCTTGGGGAAACGAGGAATCTCTAGAAGCCCAACCGCACTAACTAGTACGGCGGCGGTAATTGGCGCGCAAGCAGCGCCAGTGGAGGCGTCGACAGACTCGACGGTATAGCTTTGTGAAGCTATATCCCAGGCTGCAGCCACTACTTTGCGATTAAAGAGAGTATGCGACGCAAGGCCGTGTTTATCGAAGAGTTCGCGCCAATAGACTTGAATAGTGGGTTGGAAGGCATGGGTATGTGTCCAATCAGGGCGGAGTTCGGTGGAAAGAGAGTACATGTGGATGCAGACGTCAGAAGAACAGCCTGGGTAGATGTTATCTCTCCAGGTCCCACCAACATCAGATGCTTTCTCGACTATCTGCTGGTTGTGAGTTTCTGGTGGGGGTATAGCATGGTTAAACGCACCGTGAAGTTTTCGTGTCCCTTCCTTTTCAACTCGATAGCCATAGTCAGGCCACCAACTCTGCTCGTCATCAGCAACAGTCGCAGCGACGAGCTTGGAGACATACCCGCTGCCAATGATGACCACATGCGGCTGAGCGACCTCTGGGAGTTTGGGAGCCATGGAGGTTTGGGAAATGATGGAAAAAAGACTCTTGGCTTTTTGTATTCTTCCGCCCTGATTTAAGTCGTGCGAGAATCGTTCTTGCTGTCGCCGTCTTGCAGGGCTTCTTGATGCTTCGCAGTGGCTCTGAAGTACGATATGAGTCTGTCTCCGAAAAGGACTCGAAAGACGTGCATGGCGACATGTTTGAGTAAACTGGGCGGTTATGTCAGTCTAGTCCTACTAGTAGTTAGTGGTGCACGTAAATCGAGTCTTTACTTACAGATTGTGGATCAATGTTGCTTGCGTCGGTGCTATATACTTAGTGCGCTCGCGAGTACCGGTCAAAATAGAACGTTGCATGAGCTTTTGGAGTCAAGCTAAGGCTGAAAGCGGTAATCACGTGCTGACTTTTCCCCATTTCCCCTTGCAGTCCACCGCCATCCCGCAGCCAGCAAACCGCCTTCCGTGCGGCCCGCCTCGAGGCAGTTGACCAGACAGTTTGGGTTGGGGCCCCACCCACCATAACAACGCGTCACACTCGCTTCTCTCTCTTAACGACGATGGCCAATATGCTCTTCGCCAACTTCAATCAGGATTATTCGTGCGTGTCTGTCGGCACTCGGGGTGGATATAGTATCATCAACTGCGACCCTTTTGGGCGCGTATACACACAAAGTGTGTCGCCATTCCCTTCGTATGAGCCAACGACTGACATATTCCCCAGACGATGGCGGGCGAGGCATAGTCGAAATGCTCTTCTGCACGTCCCTCATCGCACTTGTTGGAGCCCCTGACACGCCTTCTTCCTCCCCCCCGCAAGCTCCAAATCGTCAACACAAAACGCCAGTCGATGATATGCGAGCTGCTTTTTCCCCAGCAGCATCCTGACTGTCAAGCTCAACAGGAAGACACTTGTTGTGGTCCTGGAGACGGAAATATACCTGTATGATATCAGCAACATGCGGCTCCTACATGTTATCGAGACGTTGCCCAATCCTGAAGGTGTGTGGTCTGTTTTTTCGACACGATGTACGGCTCATCGGGAGAGCAGGAATTTGCGCTCTTTCCCCCTCCGCAGACGCTCCATATCTTGCATACCCGGCTCCATTACCATCTCCAGCCCTTTCAGCAGCTTCAGCAGCGGATTCGTCCAGTTCGGCAACGAATTCTAGTGTTGCTGGTGGGGGGGATGTAATGCTCTTCAGCACAAGAGCTCTGGCACCAGTCAACGCAGTCAGAGCCCACCGCAGCCCGCTGGCGATGACCAGCCTCAGTGGAGACGGAAGTTTGCTTGCAACAGTCAGTGTAAAAGGTGCGTTCTGTCTGTATGATCACTTGTCAGTCCTTAACAATTGTCAGGCACCGTTATTCGTGTTTTCGCGACGCCTTCAATGGACAAGCTGTATCAATTCAGACGTGGGGCCCGGGAAACACGTATCTACTCCCTTGCTTTCAATCCAGCGGGCACGCTGCTTGCGGCGGGTAGCGAACGCGGTACAGTTCACCTGTGGAGAATCGGTGGTGGGAATGGGAAGGCTGGGTCGAGCAGGGCGAGCGTGAGGGACGATTCCTCGGTGACTGGGTCGGCAGAGGGCGACGTCCAACCACAGCCGGATTACGATGCCAATGCGAACGGGAATGGCGAGGCGAGCAAAAAGGGCATGAGGTTTGCTTTTCTCCCTTTGTCGCGTAGTAGTGTCTCACAACTTCCCAGCACCGTTCTTCGCCGACGATCACTCAATCTCACCAACTCGCTCACCAAGGCGGCTGCCTCATACCTCCCTTCGAGTATCGCGGAAATGTGGGAACCAACGAGAGATTTTGCGTTCTTCAGGTTACCGCCACCGGTGCCTGTATCTGGGGGAGGGACGGCAGATAGGCGATGTGTTGTTGGGCTAAGCAGGTTTGTTTTCAATGCTCATTTTGGCAGTGTCTTATTGATTCCAGCACAACACCACATGCCATGGTCATATCGTCCGACGGGTACTTTTACGTGTATAGCATTGATTTGGAGAAGGGCGGGGAGTGCGTGCTGGTCAAGCAGTATTCGTGCGTGCTTTCTCCTTTATTTGCTGCTGCTGACATCTATGCTAGATTACTCGAGTCGAGTTCGGACGGTGGGATGTAGAGAGGCTTCCTTTTACTTGTGCGGCTCTTATGCTTTTGTTCATTCACTATACTGACACAAGGCAGAGTAGTATCACCTTCACTGTGGTTGTGTGGAATGTCATTATCGACGATTAATGATTTGATTCTTTTGCTGTTTTTGCAGCATGGCATTTTCCAGTGGTACAAACAACAGAAATTTTGAAACCATGCAAAAACAGCTATGGAGCTGTTTTTGCTTGATTTTCGTCCCCGTTTTCGGGGCTGTTTTCGCTCGAGTCAGGTGCCGCTCTCTGCCCTCTTCCTTCTGCGACCATGCAATGCAAAAAACGCGCCGATTCCCCCGAGCCCGACACTCAGACAGCTTCTGACGCTGCTCCCCCCAGAAAAAAGAAGAGTGCCCAACTGGCTCAGCACTCGCGGATGGGAAGAGTTGGTATGGGGCAGGAGGAAAGCTGGTGTGGCCGGCAAAGCCAGCTGAAAACATCATGGACGAAACAGAAGGGGAAGAGTTTCATATGGGGCTCGTTTTGGGCTCATTTTCGACTGTGTTTCACGAAAACAGATCTCAAAATTACATCAAAACTACTTAGCTCGAAAACACGTCGAAAACGGACGCGTAAAACACCATATTATTATGAAGCCGAGCTTCAGGCGTGTCGCGGCTTGGCCTCCTGGACCAGTATGATTGGAGTCGTCTACGACGCCTGGCCATTTCGTTAGAAATCGATATTACATGGAGTAAGGCATACATGTCATGCTGAAGCTTTGCTTCATCCCAAAGTCGACCTGGACTTGGAATATCGGGGCCTGCTCATCCACTGCCGTCGATGGAGACGTGCGGGGAGAGGAAGTCGTTGTTGCGGTTGATTGTGGGGCTCTTCATTGGCCAAGATAGACACGACTAGCGCATCTGGTTGTTCGGCCACTTCAGAACTTATGCTGGAGATGGGCACGGAGACGGCGGTGATGCCCTGCATCATGAGGAAGAGAGTCGTGAGAATGAGGAGGAAAGAGGTGGGCTGCATAGCGGGAATGAATGGGCGTTGCAATGGAGAGTTATAGGTCTGCCGTCCGCGAAGGTAGGGAGCGATTGTAAAGAAAGGTGGTGCGGGTTTGTCGGAAATGACTTGGGTCGGATGATGAAAGAGGGAGAGAGCGGGGTCGGAGAGACGTCGGTCATTGAGGGGGATGCTTGACTCTTATAGGCATTGACGAGGGGCTGAGGGGTTGGCTTGTCGATTATTTTCGCGTGGCAGACTTGAGGAGGGGTTTGCCGCCCCTGTTTTCTCAAGAGGGAAGGTTTGAGGGCAGTGGTAGCTAGCAAGCTTTGGTGGTCAATCTAAGGGTCAATCCAAGAAGCTGTTGCGTCACGGTCACTTGACGCTTCTTCTTCCCCATTCCCTACCATGAACCTTGAACGCGTGCCAGAGCTATGGTTTGAGGATGGCAACGTCGTCTTACAAGCTGAAGGCCAAGTTGTGTTCAAAGTCTTTCAGGGCATCCTCGCTGCCCGGTCACCCATATTCAAGGACATGTTTTCGTTCCCACAGCCCCAACAACGAATGCCAGAAGACGAATACGACGGGTGTCCACTAGTTCCAATGGCGGGAGACTCTGCTCATGAGGTCGCTTACTTCCTGCAGGCGATTTTCAATTCAGAGTGCGTTTCTTTGTCAAGAGCTTTTCAAATTTCCTCACTCAGTATCTAGATTCTTTCCTGCGTACCCTGCTCCGACCGATTTCCACGTTGTAGAGGGCTGTCTCCGGATGAGCCACAAGTATCAAGTGGACTACCTCAAACAACGCGCGCTTGTTCACTTGTCATCTGGGTTCCCAACAGAGCTAGCATTGCTGGACAAGCGACGGTATCACTCTGGTCCGACTGGGCTCCTTGCAGCGGAGCGGACGTCGTGGCTGCCTCCGCCCAGCCCTAATGAATATGAACATATCCCAGTGCCCACACTTCTCAAAGCCATCGCTCTTGCTCACGAAGTCCAAGCGCTTTGGATCCTTCCTCTCGCGTTTTACTACCTTGCCTGTCACCTGGCGCACCCAGAAGCGCTCGTGCACCATCCCCTATCCAACTCTCGTGCAAACCAAGACGTAGCCCTCTCAGAGGGGGATGGGAGGGCCTTCTTACGGGGACATGCGGCCTTTAACCAGACTGCTATTTCCCTCCTAGCCGTTGTGTCCGACTACCACAGTTCCAAGTCGACCGGCTGCAAGGATCCGCCAAACTGCAAAGCCGTCCGACTGAAGGCACTGAGCAGGTTCCTCGATCTGGCGGGGAAGCGGCTTAGGATGCCGTTGCATGTATTCCGAGTCTCACCCGACGGTCCGCTGAAGAAAGCGTGCCCGTCGTGTTATGAGAAACTAGCGCAGGCGCTCAGGGAAAAACGGGATAGACTGTGGGACGAGATGCCCGCGACATATGGCCTGAGGCAATGGGAGGATTTGACAAAGATGAAACGAGAGGCCTTGAGTTTGTAATTGTGATAGAGGTTAACTTATGCAGCTCTTCATGACATCTACTTTGTACTTTGTACCTCCGACCTTATAGTCGTATGTAACTCAGGCTTCCATCATGAAGCAATCAACATCATAACATGGGCCGACTCGTCTGTCACACTCAGGGCTGGGCTGGCCGTGACTCTTCTTCTCGTCAACCACATCTTTCTTATCGTGCTTATGGCGGACTTCGTGCCTCCTGAAATCATTGACCTCATTATCGAGGAAGTAAAAGACCGACCAGCACTCAGATCCTGCTGCCTCGCCGCCTCCATTTTCCGCGAACCCTGCCAACGGCGTCTGTGGAGATCTCTCTCCGTGGAGTTGACGGAACGCCATGGTGCCACGTTTCGTCCAAATGGTGCTTACTTGGGCTCTTTCTTCACCGCAGGATTCTATCTCGACATTTATCCCCACATCGCGGGTTACGTTACCGACTTGGAAGTGTCTATTGAACTGAGAGCCCATGCAGCCTGGCAGTTTCGCCATTCTTTCTCGAGTCTGAAGACCATATTAAACTCTCTCCCAAGACTCGCTAGACTCACCATTACTTCTGCCGATTTATGGGGGCAAGAAACCTACCGGTGGACAGCCCTGCCGGATTAGTACTTTGACTCTTCCTATCCAATCTTTCATTGCGGCTAGAGCAAGCCCCGGCACTGCGAGTCTATGCCAACTGGACTTTGAAAACTTTCCTATTGTTCCCCCTCAACTGGTCCGCGATGCATTAATGGCCTCCCAGGCCGTGTGTATTGTTGGTTTCAAGGTCGCAATCGACGAGCAATCGGACCCAAAAGTGGAAAATTTTACCGATCCTGGTGCGGGGACTGCTTCACTCCAACGCCTCAAGAGTCAACACCACGATTGTCGACATGGGTTGCGTGATAAACTTCAAGCTTGTCCAGCCGTACATTCGTTCTATACGTGCTCTGGTGCTCGGTGCTGGTAGTGGCCTTTGCTCAAATTACGGAGATGAAGAATTTAGCAGAACAGTCCCCAGGGTACTATCAGTTATGAGTGAAACACTCGAGTACCTGTCGGTGGAGCTTCCAAGTGGTCAGCTACGCAAATTCATTGTCGAATTCACCGAACTGAACGAGTTAACAGAAGACGGCCTGCGGTTCCACGAACCTGCCATGATTTATCCAACGGACATGCAAAATCTTCCCCAGAGTTTCCCTCGACTGCAATACCTCCAAATTGGCTTCCAATACGTAATGACCGACGACTCGAGAAGGCATGTGCCGCCGCCACTCCTCCTGTTCTTCCTTTCCTCGATACTTTCCCGAACGTCAAGTAATTGCGGTGGCCTACCGGCGCTCTACCTTTGTGCCCAAATCACGGTTGCGATGTCTGGACCACTGGACGGGGCACAGATACCCACTCCTCGGAACTCATACCGGCTTGACATGCAGGCAGTCTTGGAAGGGCTCGACCAAGTGCTCTACTCATACATGTCGAGGCACGTCCTTGGCCGCGTATGTTATGTTCCGCAATTCTACACCACCACGTGCTACCCGCGATCCAACCAAACGGTCCGCCTCTGGGAAGGAGCCCCCAGAGTAGACTGGCAGGAGTATACCGAGGCAATCAGGACATCTCTTCCAAAGGCGATGGCGGCGGGATTGAAAATCGTCGACTTCGACTCGGATTGGAGAGAGCCAATGGTGGAATTTTGAGCGGACTACTATGCTACTGGCTAGCGGGGGGGAACTCGAACAAATCGCCCAAGAGGACTCATTCAAGTTATCGAAACAGTGCTATCGTTTTGCTATCATGCGTCAAGTATTACCAGATTTACACAAATATCCGAATCTTCCCTGTGCATATTAAACTGTGAATTCTACTGTTGTCCGTGTGTGCTCCGCGTTGCGTGCGTAAGACTTTGAGCGCTGGTCCGTGCAGTGTCCTGTCATGTCACGCAATTCAGGTTACTCACAGCCTGTCTTTCTTCACACACTTATTCGACTTCAGTGGTATCCAACATCACATATGCTGCCAGCCTTCCGGGCTAGTAGTGTGCGCCGAACCGCTCCCAGGACAGACTCGGTGCAGTGCTTTTTGTCGCTTTAGAAGCACAACTGAATACGAATGCAAAGAGCACTCAAGGCGATAGTGGAACGATTCCAGCCGTGAGTTTCGCCCTCTTAAATTGGCAGGACCTTGCCTACACCGTCTTGCACCCGTTGCTACTCAGAACCAACTCAGAACCATGTGCCTGTACCTCTTGGCTCCCCGAAAGCAAAATGACTCGACTGTGATGGGCACAGGCATAAAAAGCGGGCGAAAGGCAGGGTCCCCAGTCTGTACCTCCCATGTCCCCAAGCGACTCAACGGAGAGAATAGTGCCGGTGGTGGAGTCATATGGGCGATGGGCAAAGGTGTGTTTTCCTATCCACATCTCCTTCATGTTTCTAAAGAACCTATAGACATATGATACGGCGGAGAACTTCCTTCAGAAGGTCGACGACGAGCTGGTTGCCGCGGTATTGGGGAGCTTGTCCGCATCGTTACCGATGAAACGAATCGTCGATTTGGGTTGTGGCACAGGTCGAAACACCGAGAAGTTGTTGTCAGTCAAAGGAGTGGAAACGGTGGTCGGATTGGATCTTACCGCCCAGATGCTTGAAGCTGCCCAGTGGCGAGATGCGGTAGCAAATGCCGTTCAAGACGGGAGACTAGTTCTGGACGTCTGGGATGTGAAGGGGGACATGCCTGTGCCAGACTGCTTGCTTGGCGAAGGGCGGGCCGATGGCGTTATTTGCACACTCGTTCTCGAGCACCTTTCCTCCCTTGACGAGTTCTTCCACCGGACCCGGCAACTTCTCCAACCCAGACCGGGGTCATGGGTCTTTATCACGAACATGCATCCGGACCTGGGACAAACTGGCGGGGCTAACTTTATTGACGAGGACGGAAAACTGACATGGACGGAGAAGCATGTCTGGTCTGCGCAAGACGTCGTCGATGCCGCTGGACGAGAGGGATTCGAGGCAATCACCGGGGTTGGAGACGATGGGACAGGAGTTTGGACACGGACAGTCAGAGATGAGGAGCATGTCAGCAAGATTGGCGCGGGGTCGGCTAAATGGATCGGGAAGAATGTGCTGTTTGGTGTTGCCTTGCGTACCTTGTGAGTAGGAATGGTTCATCAACACTTCATGTTAAAGCTTTTTTTCCACCGTAATGCTGCGACCGAACGATCTCACCGTACAACTTGGTCTATTGACGGGAAAACATCGCTCCTACGTAAGTACTTATGGGACGAGTTCCACAGTATCAATAATTATGCTTTTGAAACACGTCCAGGGCAAGGGCCAGAAGACATCCGAGTCACTTTGTTGATTGCGGCAAGGAACCCAAAAGTGGCTTGAGGAAGATTGCACTGCTTGAAGGCTGTGACCCGCCTGAGGAGGTCAATGTTGATCGGAAATCATTCCAGTCTGAGTCAGTACTTATAAGAACGACCAGCAACCTCTGGCACAATGACGGCGCATGTCTTTCCCAACGAGATATGGATGCTCATCTTCGACAACTGCCCCTTGGCCACTCTATGGGCGGTTTCCCTCACCTGCCGCTTGTTCCATGCAGTCAGCCTGGCCGCATTCTTGCGAAGTTTGGTTTGGAAGAGTCCAGAACGGGCACGCCAGCATATTTCGATATTCTGGAGTTTGTTTCCGCCTGAAAAGGCACCCGTAGTTCGCTCGTTGGATGTCCGGTTTACGCCTCCACTGCGAAGCGAGAGAAGACTCCCGCCTGCTGGTGCGTCATGGTGCTGTACTCCGCTCGTTTTTTTATGGATTGCACAGATCTCCACAAGGACATAGTCGGTAAAATCTCGTTATTCCACAAAACGATATCACAACTCACTCTCTGCGGTCTAATTCTTCCTCCCATCTTCTTTGACCTGCTCAATCATCTACCCACTCTCCAACATCTTGTCTTGCGGCAGTGCATTCTCCCCGGCCCCCCTCCGGTATCTGTTTTGGTTTCGCCTCCGACCCTTGAGTCCATAACTCTCTCCAACCTTGATCGTTCCCGGGAATGTCCTACTGTGTTCTCACCGTATGCCTTGCTTATGCTCTTCCCACAAGTCCCCTTCATCTCTGTCGACCGCCTGATGGAATCCAGAAAATGGGGCAAGCCGCTTCCGCAACTAGGCATTCCAAGACACCTCACATTGGCCTCCGTAGCTCCCCTTGGCTTATTCGTGACACGTCAACACCTCACCGCGCTCACCCGGTTCTTCCTGTTCCGCCTCGAAAAACTTGTGGTCGTGATTCCGGAGCTATACCGGCTGCCGTTCCGCGAGGAGATCCCTGTGTGGGACACTTTGATCTCCGTCCCGCGTCTCCATTTGCTCGCGGCCCCCCTCTCCATCGTTCGTGTCCTCTTGCGGTCGAAGCCCCCGCTCACACACCTGGCGATACAAGGGGCCATTCCAACAACCGCGCACGTGGCGTGTCTAATGAACGACATACTGAGCGACGACATCGTATCGCTAGCGCTTACTGTTGCTTCCTGGGACCCAGCACTGGTCGAGCTGATTTCGCGGCGCTTACCAGGCCTCCAGTCGCTCGAGATACTTTACTGCGATGCGGCCAGTGCTCCTGCCAGTGCGAGTCCTTGCGCAGCCGATCTCCTACCGCATCTCACGGCTCTGTGCATCGCCCCATTTCTGCCGATCGACCCGTGTTTACACACTGTGCCAAGGCAGGAGAGCCGATCACTTACCCCGGACCCACAAAAATTGATTGGATGGAGCTCGCTGGTTATTCTTGACGAGCAGCTGTACCCAACACATGATACGGAGGTCTATTGGGGAAATCCATGAGCATGGGATGGCAATCTAATATTGTGTGATGTGCGGTGTTGAAACCCTGCTTTCCTTGCTGGCTTACCACAAGAGCTGACCTGTAGATAGTCCCTCCTAGTAGTACAGAGGCAAAGTGTAAGGCAAGGGCGAGGGAAAAAAATTAAGGAACATACATATTGACTCATCTGGAAATAATGCTTACAACTTGTTGTACTATGTCTAGCTCCTCGTTATGGCTGCTATGAGAAAAGAATAGCCATAGGATTAGACTTGTGTCCACAGTTCAGAACCCAGATCTGAGATGCACCAGATCACAAATGTGACAATACTCACTACACCACCAAACCGACATGACACTTTGCCGATGTCATGCCGGAACATCACCCAACATCGGGTCTTGATATCAGCACCGGATTTTCGTGATGTCAGGAAGGAATTGATTGCGCATATCTTCCTGACATTCGCCTGACAACATATATCATGTAGACATCCTGAACTGGACAAGTGCAAGACAACACCCCAAGTCAAGAGGCTTCAATTGGATAAATGGTGCACTGCGATATACTGGGGCAAACAGGAAGGAATGTTTATTATACTCTATTTAATACATATAGTATATGCCAACTCATTATGTATCGACCACCTATCCGTCTGCTGACCCTTCGCCCCCCCCCTCCGCTCAGCGGTATGGCGGCAGTCCCTCCTCCCACTGATGTTCGCTATGAGGCCAATCAACCTGCATCCCGAGCCTGATGTTGGTGGTCTTGCCCTGCGCGGCAGTGTCGAATGCGTGGACGATGGATAGCTGCGACTAGAGGATCGCACGCCGGTCTTTACGTGGTCGGGTGTGCGTTATTTGGCACGGCGGAAGGGACTCGGTCCTGCCAGGGCGGGGTTAGTATGGGTCAGCACGGGAGAGGGGACAGACATACAAGCAATGGCGGAGCCAATGAGGAGCGCGGGAGAGAGCTTGAGTTGCATAGTTGTGGTCGTTGGTAGCATATGGTGGGACAATGTCGTGTGAGAAGCTAGTATTGGAGTGAGTCGATGAGAGAGAGGAAAGGAGCGGGCCACGCACCTCAGAACAAGAGTGTGGTTGACCAGCCGGCCTGGGTATCGCAGTTGCTCCCTAAGAGACAGTGAGTTTATCATCAAGGACACCAAGAGCACGAACAGGATAGGCCGGATTCCCAAGTGTCCTATTGTGCAAAATGAGTACGAGCGGGCAGACCTAAGCAAGGCGCTGCTGGAGGTGGTGCCGTTCGATGTCTGGGCCCCGCAGGCGGCTATGGGGCTCGACACACTGCGCATGGGGCTGTCAGGATATAGCGTGACCGGCCACACGCTTCGCGACACTGTCAGCGCGGCCGTGGAACGCGTGGCGCGCAGAGCTCGCAGACCCGCTGGACTTGGGGGGAACATGGGGGAACGAAGAGAAAAAAAGATGTTGTGACAGCTGCTGTCACCACGGAGAAGTTGTCCGTGATGTTACGGACCTTTCGGAACACTTCTGACCGGTGGTCAGCATGATTGTGTCATACCTCTCGGCTCGACTTAGCAAATTTTCTTGAGGGCTTGAAGCTGCCCCTCGGTGTGGGCCATACTGTAGGCATTTTTTCCAGCATTAATGCTCAAAACTAGTTGGACCATCCTTTCCTGATGGAGCCAGTATGCATACTAGGTCTGGTCACTCATGACACAGTTTGGATTGCTCATCTACTGGATACTAGGAGAAGACATCAGCATGATATATCTTGCAACATCGCATACATGCTGGCATGATATCAGTCCAACATTCAGTGGCTGACAGCTGAATGATCTTAGGCAGACCTGATGCTGAGATCGGCATTTCTGTCCTGTTGACATCGTGGGGTGACATCGGCTCAGTATACAGACGGGTTGGTGGTGTAAATATCATCAGGAAAAACCTCCCTAAGAAATCTCATGAAATTTCTGGAATTCTCAGTAGGCTTTAAAAATTCAGAGAAATTTAACCAGATTCCATAGAATTTATGGAAATTTTCAAAAATTTCAGTAGCATGTTAAATCAATAGTCAAATGAAACACAAACCATGACTGAATACTATGTATAATAAGTGTGAATGTTTAGCTCTGCAAGGTCTTATGCCTAAGGTCACTACTAGTATTTCAATTCTGTACTTCACAATTATATTCAGATGGTTTCTAAGTCTGTCATCAAAGACTGGCCCTAAACCTATCATATTGTTATGCCATTGACAGATCTTTGATTGATTTGTTACATGTGTGTGACATCAAGAAAAAAAATCGCACCACTCTTTCCTTTCCCCCCTCATATTCCCTCTAGGCCAAGTCCTGGAGCCACATGCGCCTTATCCCTCTTCAGTCCAGTGCTGCGCAAGAGGCTGTGTTAACTGTAGAGACTGTGTGTTGGCATCGACCCTCCCACCGTACATGCGGCTGGCTCATTCCCCACGCAGTCGGCCACCAAGCTGCAAACAGCCCCAAGGCAGGCACCCCAGCCTGGTACACCCACTGCCTTCTCCTCTGCATCCTTCTGCTAACGACACCTTAGCTATAACTTTGTGGAGACGATGACACTGATATTGATAGGCGCTTGAGTGCCCTGTGTCATGCCACTGCTGGTCGGAGATGAGCTGAGAGGTAGACGGACAGGTAAGTGCAGCCAAAAAGGCCACTGAGTTCAAAGTTGGAGACAATGTGTACGTTGAAGGTGTCAGGGGAACCTCCCTTTCAGCCCCTTGGAGACGCATCCGATTCCGGTCCGATTCTGGTTCCAACTCCGGTCCGGCCCTCCATCTCACCCGCACAATCACCGATCTGTCAACGCCCTCCCAACGGTCGCCCTGGGACCTCCCCTGCGACGCCACCCAAGCCTTCTGTGCCCGACAGCGGCACCTACGGACAAGCAGTATATAGTCAGCTACCTAGCAGGTGGACCCTCAGAGTTTCACCTCTTTGGATCCTCCCCTGCTAGGTCAGCTTCATTTGTATTCCGCTTACTAATGTTCACGCTTTGGATCCTCCCCTGCTAGTGTAAGGGCAACCTCGCGAGGCTCGAAATCAGAGTCCTGAGCAGAGGGGGAATCCTTAGTGAACTACTACAACAGGAAGGGACGCTACAGACTCACCTGAGCAGAGGGGGAATCCTTAGAGAACAAGCCAAGGAGCCCTCTGCCCAGGTGCACTACTATATACCAGTGACCGGAGTAATGATAGAGTGACTGCATAGTGACGGATGACGGATGGGAGAAGTCAGCCATCGCTAATGGACCCTAGGTGAGTGTCGAGTAGCCCTTGAAGCTCCGGAGAGGCAGGTTTGGGACCGTGATGCCAAGGGAGGGGCCCAGGCATCCCTAGAAGGCCTAAGAAGGGCTTCGGGAGGTCCAGGCTGCCTCTGGGCGTCTCCGCTTGTGACCGTGACCGTGACAACCGGAATCGGAATCGGAATCGGAATCGACTCCGGGTGTGTGACCGTGACGTGACGGCCGGAAACGGAGAGGGAAGGCGTGGAGCGGAAAGGGAAGGAGTCTGGTCTAGCCCAAGGGCCGGGGAGTGTCGAAGAGGACCAATGGGAATGGCGGCCAGCCATGACCACTGGAGGGTAGCGACAGGGGTCACTCGGAGACGTCCCCGGACGTCTCCAGAGAGGTGGAGGTGTGAGGGCGTGCAGCCTGGGGCGCTGCAGTAGGCACGAGCCTTAACGGCAGTAGGCCTCACCCAGGGGAAGGCCCGATGACGGGGGCCGTGGTGGCGGAGTGGAGAGCGGAGCCATGGCAAGGCTCAGCCATCCGAACATAAGCCCGAATGCTGACATGGGTTGGGGACACCCAAGAGGTCCAGCAGGTAGAGATCATAGGGAGACCTTGATAAGTGACAGCCCAGAGAGGCTAGAAGGCCATAGGCTCAAGGTCTCGGAGGGAAGTGGTGCGTCCACATCCGGAGAGGTCTCCGATGGCAGTAGTGATCCCTGATGGTGACTCCGCCGGCGGAGAGACTCCCGGAAAGGGGTGGCCAGGGAAGTCGGAGACTGGGGATTACTGGATGTGGGATGTGGTGCGGGCAGTGGAGGGAGAGCGTCAGGGTGCGGAGACGCGGAGACACGAGCGGAGACGCGGAGACGCGAGCGGAGACGCGGCGCTTGATGGGATCAAGTGACGGCATCAGGGTTTCCCCTGACATCATCCCCCCTTCAAGCTGCGTCGCCCCGATGCAGGAAAAAAAATCGGGGGGTCACTGAGCTCGTCCTCCGGAGTCCCTTGTCCTCCGGTGGCCAAGCTCCTGTCTCTGTCGATGTCCAGAGACTGTCCATCTCCAAGAGCCAGTGTGACGGTACCTTGGCGTTGCTCCAGTGATTGCTGTTGCCAAGGTCAACCCATGGAGTACTTGCGTTCTCCACTGGTTGCGCGCCCATATTCGGAGACGCCCGGAGACCTGCGGTCCCGGTGCCTCTCCGAGAGATGGTGCAACTACACCTTTGCGTAGCTCGGTGTGCGCCCGCTTGCGCTCTGGTCGCATGTTGCTCCAGGAGGGTCCTCTGCGAGTCCCCTCCTATACCTCCTCCATCCCCCTTCAAGAGTGTGGCGCCCCGACGCACCACAGAAAAAAAAAGGGGGGGGTCTGCGCTTAGCCAAAGCACCAAGTACACCTCCGGAAACGTCTCCGTTTGTGCCCGGAAACGTCTCCGAGCGTGACCGGAAACACCTGTGACGTCACAGGGCGATTCCGACCATCTCTACTGGTTGTTGGAGATCGTTGGGCGGCAAATGACTTGCCATGGGGTGATAGCATAGCGAGTGGCGAGCTCACTTTTACTGCACCCAGATGTCAGGTGGGGGGAAAGGAATTGCAGTGTGGCTCCGGACACTGCGCTGTCAGCCGGGGCACTAAGCCTAGTGTTGCGGACTGGGTGGCAACAGCTCGACCCATCCTAGTTGTGCGGCAGAGGCGGGTTGACGTAGGCATTCCAGAAGCGATTCCATTGTTCGGGGTCCGGCTGTACAATGGGACCCTTTGAG